GAGGCATAAGATCTGATGGAGAGTGGTGAAAATAAGAGACAAGAAATGCTTGGGATGCAAGAAGAGGTTAGTTACCCGTTCTGCTTAGGAGGCATTCAGACCCCAGCAGCCTTGCTCCCTGCAGGGTTCAATGATCACCTGGCCTGCTCCCCCACCATAGCGAGCTCAGCCATTGTCAGGGAGCAAGAGGTAGCCTTTGTGATGTCATGGGCACTGACTTGACTTCATTGCAAGTGGGAGCAGTGCAGCCTGCTGAGCAGTGCTCCCACTTGCAATGAAGGGGAGGGAAAGATTTATTCTTTGGGGGTTCAGTGTGAAAAGGGAATCTCAGGGCTGGCTGCAGTACATACTTCTCCCTCCCTCACCCCCAACAGGTGATGTATCTGGAAGCTAAGTGGCAAACAATAAAGGCAGAAAGTAGTGCTTGCTACAACTTCTGACCTAGGAACTGCAAGCCTCCTGTGTAATGATTTGGGGAATCTATGTACAACTTACTCTAGTTGGATTTTATGAGCTTTCTGTATTCTTATATCTTAGACTGTCTCTTTCTGTGTTCTGCCGCATGCTCCTTGTGCTAAGGAGACCGAAGAGTGGTATCTGCTTGTCTGTCTATGAATAGGTTGGTCAAGACTATCAGCCCCTGAATAGCTCTTGCCTGGGAAGAATAAAGTAACTATATTCTAGATAAAATTTCCTCTAACTTCTCTGTAGGGGATGCTGGAGTTTGAAGGAATGGAATTTCCTGAGAAGCAGGGCAATTAAAAACTGAGAGGGACTCAAGGAGGCTTGGGGAAAGAGTTGGGCATATTTCTGTGGCAGAAGGATCCTTTTTTACCGAGGGGCCATCTAAATAAGAAGGAAGCTGGCTGCAGGGAAAAATATCCTGTGAATCAGGGGGAAAGCCTTCTGAAGGATGGGGGGTACTTGGATGTCCCAGAGGACTCTGGCCAAATCAAGACTGGTGAGGAAACTGAGGCAGGAAGGGAGCGGGGCATAGGTCTTTATTGTTTTGTCTAAATCTGTACATTTCTTGTCCTAGCTTAAGTCAGGAATAACTGTGTTACAAACTTTGACAAAGCCTGTTCGTTATCCCTGAAGAGGTAAACTCTAACCCAGACTGCCCACAAGGCTGGAGCTCTGGGAAAGGATGTGTTTACGCAACAGACCTGTCTTTGCGGGGAAGGGATCAGCTTTGATCCTGGGGGCCTGTGGCAGCTGCACTGTGACTTCCCTTCTGTGGTCGAATGTGAGCCAGAGAAGCCAAAGTAAAAGATGGTGCTTGAACCCACCCAGAGCAAGGGAAGCTGATGAGCACATAGGTCTAGAGTGGTGTAGGGTTGCCAGTTTTGTTTTTTTTGGGGGGGGGGATGAATTCCTGGAGATTTCGTCACAGGACATTATCTTTAATTCCTGGAGACTCCAGGGCAATCCTAGTGTGGTGGGACCCAAAACCAGTAGCTGGGTGATTGTGCAGCAGGGGGTCATGACATCGTGCATGCAATACAGACTGGTTCCCACTGGTGATGAGATAAGGCCTTGCTTTCATCAGAACTTTAATAGACCAGGATCTAACTTCTCTCCACTCAAGACAAAGGTGTATGGAGAATCCTGTGCTCTGTTAGTAAGTTTGCAGAGAAGCAGATCTGGAGAATAAATGTGCTTCTACCCAAAGCAGCCTCACAACCTACAAGTCTTAGAAAGTGATTAGCTAAGATGATTAACATGCTTCCAGGAGAGCAACAGATGGGGGGGGGGGGGAGTGATTATTTCTCCAAACTCCACCTAAAACCCAAGCCCCACACACTTGTGACACCAAAATAAGATGCTACTCTCAAGCAGGTTGTGCAGATCTTCCTACTATGACCATCTCTCTTCTTTCCTGCTTTTTATTGTCACAGTTAACAAAACTACATGAATGGGAGCCATTTTCAGGTCTCCAAGCTACATTTTAAAGACTTTTATCTGCAGCCATAAAGGCTAGACACTTGAGACTTTCATTTCACAAACAGACTTTGAAATGCAGGTTGGCATTTTGTTTTTAATATCAATAGAACTGAGCCAAAACCCCAGAGCAGATGAGAGAAGAACACCCATTATTGTTGGGGAATTCCCAATACAGATCTGATTGTAGCCTGAACCCATCATTTGTTGTTTGTTGTTTAACAGCTGTCCTTATTACACTCAGAACGATCACTTGCGTAGAGGGCAGTCAGATAAAGGACCAAATTCTGCCTTCAGATAGGGAGACTTGAATGCACATCTGTATCTCGAGGATTCTGTAGATAGAGAGATGTAGCACTCAAAAGCTGATTGAAGCAAGGCAGATCCAGGTCCCCTTTCTCTTTCCTGTAGAGAAAAGGGTGGAAATCAGTCTGTAGAAATCTGAAGCTAAGGCGCACAAAAGGACAGAGAGGAGTTTGAAATAATGCATGTGCGGGTTTTGCTGGGAGTGATGGGAATCAGGATGATATTAAAGGAAATATTTATGCACCTTTATGAACAGAGATGTATTGGACTATCAGATCAGTCTCCTGATTGGAAGTGGCTGAAGCGCCATCACTTCAGACTTTTAAAATCAGAGCACACAAAACACTAGAAAATTTCTGTGCAGCCCAATCCTTGCATGGGCAAGGAGACAGGGCTTTTCCATTTCTGACTTCTGTGGTTCAGAACTCATCGCACTCACTTCTTAAGCTATAGATTCTTCTGTGGTGGTGGTGCGGTGTTGTATAGCATCACTAGATGTCAGCATTGAGTTTGGTGAAGAGAGAAGCAATGCAAAATGGAGTTCACAGCGTGTGTGTGGTGGTGGTGGGGGGGGATTAATAGACAGCTTCGCACCACAACCCACCTTCATTTTTCAAAAGGAGGATAAAGTTCAAAAAAATACCTTGTGGGGAAATGGCTTAACAGTGAGTACTTGAATTATTTTCCTCTGCAGCAGCGTAAACAGCCTGATTCTCTGCACCTGTGTTTTCTGTGCATTAAGCCTTGATATACAGCACATACTGTACTGTATCTGATTTTGATTCAAAGCCTTGCCAGTTGTGGAATATGATGTTAAAATGGGATGTTTTTCCCCTTCTGTTCATTATAATGTTCAATAGCCACATGGATTAAAACTCATTTTGAACACCAAATCCAGCTGTTCTTACTCTACAACGCTGTTATGAAGCCAAGGGGAATGCTCTCTGAGGAAGAGATACAGGATTTGGCCCTGAGTGTTAGCAATAACAACTGTGGCTGGGGTTTTCAAATGGCAACCTAAGGTGGTTAGGCACCCAGCCCCCACTGAATTGCAGTGGCATCTATATGCTTAACTCCCTCAGGGTCCCAGCTTGTGTGTCAGTCTTGGAGCCAAATACTTGAGTTGGGCCAGAGGTGCTGCTTGTGGTTAAATTGTGGACAGTTTATTATTCAAAGTGTGCACAAACCTACCACTGGGTTAGGTCACTGTCAACCACCAAACCACATCTGTGGGTTTAAATTGCTAAAAAGTTATAGCATCCTCACAGCAACTGAGTTGCAGATGTGTAAATTTGGTTTGTGTCTCACTGCTCCCACTGCATCATTTCTGTAACTGTTGCTCCTGTCCTCCTGCCTTGCGCCCAAACCGCCCAGAATGCAGGTAAATGACACAAAATGCCACCCCACCTCCCTCGTATCTCAAGCACAGGTCAGATGCAACTCTTGTCTGAAACAGAACAAATCGCTGCATAGAGGAGGTTTGGGGAAGAGGCAGATGAAGATGGCTGTGGTTTTACACGTTATACAAACAGCTTTCAGCCTGATGGATACCAGTGTGCTTTGCAAGCTGCATACGGGGATCGCATCTCTAAAACATAGCTTCCTCAGGGGTGAAACAGAGCAAGTATTTAACGGTGCACAGCAATGCTGCACAAAAGGTATGAGAGGGTGCAGAGGGGCCAGCAGGCAAAGAGTTAATTCACTGTTCAAGTCTTCTGCAGGTGTAGAAGGGTGGCTAATGAGTGGGGAGCTGGTGGCCTAATTAGGAGGTCTGGTGCAAGCTGGTAGTATTCTGGTCATATGAGTGTTGCAGTGTTTGTAGCTTGAGTAAGGATGTAGCCTTTCTGTGAAAGCTGGTTAATGCCTGGTCTTCTCTCGGTAAGAGACAGCTTTTTGTTTTACATCGATTCTGTGGGTTGGCTCCGTTTCATGGGTAAGAAAAGAACATCTTCCCTAATTGAAAGAGCAGTGGGAGTTTAGGTATGAAGTAGAACAAGATAAACTGGAGTTTGGCTAGGACACTGGTGTTAATAATCCTGCCCTTATAAAGGGGGGCGGGGGGAGAATTTCATGATCCCTGCATTTAGGAACTGAGTATTTATGCCAGCTTTTGTTCAAAATATGTCCTCCACCCACCCCCCCGCTAGTTCTGATCTAAATAGGTGAGGCGCAGAAAGCAGACTGTAACAGTTCATGGTTGTCTTTAATTATTCATAACTGGACCCTGCAGATAATGGGAACTTGTGTCTGTACAGTGGGGGAATCCATCCGTTAACCAGTGTTTTGAGCTACAGAGCGGGTGCACAAGGGATCAGTTGTGGCTAGTGCCATTTGAAAAAGACAGATGCCATTCCCCACTCAGTGAAAGCAGGCAATAGGCCACCCTGCTATAGAATCATAGAATATCAGGGTTGGAAGGGACCTCAGGAGGTCATCTAGTCCAACCCCCTGCTCAAAGCAGGACCGAATACAATCTGCCAAATAAATTGGTTAGTCTCTAAGGTGCCACAAGTACTCCTTTTCTTCAAGGAACCAATGTTCCTCTTGTCTCTTACTAAGGTCCAGCACGAGGGGGCCACACCAACAGCCTGGAGGGGAAACCTGGGCACAGGGGTGGGATTTCTTACACTCACTCACACACACGTTTTCCTGTGTCTTTTTACTTGCAAGGCTTGGCCCTTGTATTAAGCAGTGAGTGGGGAGGAGGCTTACAAGGCGTGGCATGATCATTGCACAAAACAGTCCCCTCTTGGGCTCTTCTAATCGCAGTGCTTGCAAACCCAAACCCACCCGGACGGGCTCCAGGCCGGGTAGCGCTTGCAGACAGGGCTGCAGGGCCGCATCCCAGCCGCCCTCCCCCGCGGCGCGCTGCCCCCGCCGCAGCCGATCGCATGGGGCGTACGGGCTCCCTCCTCTTCGGGGGGCAGGCCAGCGGTGGGGGTGGCTTTTTCCCCCATTGCACGGGAGCGAGCCAATCCTGGAGGAGGAAGGAGACCGCGCGCAATTTAAACCCAAAGGCGATTGAAGAGGCGCTGGGCAGCTGCTGGTGCGAGCGGGGCCGGGCTGGGAGCGGTGGGTGAGTCTGCTGCAGCGGGGGGCAGCCTTGGGTGGGCAGCGGCTCGGGGTGGGGCTGCTTGGGGGGCGAGGGGGAGGAAGCTGAAGCGGCTACAGTGTTGCAAGCCCGGGGCCTTCCAGGAACAAAGGCAGGGCCGGGCTGGGCACGAGCAGGCGCCTCACCCGTGGTCTTCCGCGGCAACGCTTCACGCCCAGGGAGAGGTGGGGGGCATGGGCCCCACACATGCCCCCTGGGCCCCAGCCATGTCATCAGCCTCTGCATCGTGCCCTGCCTGCCGCAGATTTGCTGGTGGGCTGTTTGCTCCCTCTCTGCCCCTTCCTCCTGCCCTTAGAATCATAGGATCTCAGGGTTGGGAAGGGACCACAGGAGGTCATCTAGTCCAACCCCGTGCTCAAAAGCAGGGCCAATCCCCAATTTTTGGCCCTGATCCCTAAATGGCCCCCTGGAGGATTGAACTCACAACCCTGGGTTTAGCAGGCCAATGCTCAAACCACTGAGCTATCCCTCCCTTGTCAGCATCCCCATCCCTTGCTTTCCCCCTGGCCCGTCCCTGCTAACAGGTAGAACAATGCATTTGCTGACCACTGCTCATGTGGAGTGGGTAGAGACCTGGCCTGGGGCTCAGGAGAGCTGGGTTCCAGAACAATGTGGGGGGGTGGGTGCTGAGAACCATTGACCTAAACTGTAAACTCTGTGTATGATAGAAACCACTTCAAGCCAGGGGGTGCGGGAGCACCCCTAGTTCTAGCACCTATGCTGGGTTCTGTTCCTGCATCTGGATGACTGTGGGTGATGTCCCGCTCTGTGCCTCAGTTTCCCTATCTATAAAATGTGGAATAATGATACAGACCTACCTTTTATCTGTAGATATCAAAGTACTCTATAAAAGCAACGAAGCTGTGGTGTAATCTGTGAGTTGATTACAGATTACTTGCCCTGTCTGCTTTTGATCCTCTATTGCGAGCTCTTCCAGATTTTGTGTGTCTGTTCAGGGTCTAGAACAAATTGAGAGAGAGTTTATGAAGGTCCTGTAGAACCTCAGAGTTTAAAAATGCCTCAGGCATGGAGGTTGTTCTTAACTCCGAAATGTTTGTAACTCTGAACAAAACGTTATTGTTGTTCTTTCAAAGGTTTACAACTGAACATTGACTTAATGCAGCTTTGAAACTTTACTGTGTGGAAGAAAAATGCTGCTTTTAACTATCTCAATTTAAAAGAAACAAGCACAGAAACAGTTTCCTTACCTTGTCAAATCTTTTTTTAAACTTTCCCTTAATTTTTTAGTAGTTTGTCTAATGCAGTACTGTACTACATTTCCTGCTTTTTGTTTTTGTTTGGTCTCTGCTGCTGCCTGATTGCATACTTCCAGTTTCAAGTGAGGTGTATGGTTGACCTGTCAGTTTGTAACTCTGGTGTTTGTAAGTCTGAGGCTCTGCTGTAAATGGTGTAATGTAACATGGGTTAACCAGAGGCAGAGCATGCCAGACTAACCTGATTTCCTTCTTTGAGAAAATAGCTGACTTTTTTTTGTAAGGAAAGTGCAATAGATATAATACACTTGGACTTCAGTAAAGCATTTGACACAGTACCACATGAGAACTAATTAGTTAAATTAGGTACTATTCGGGATTAGTACAAAAATTGTGAGGTGGATAAGGAACTGGGTAAAAGGGAGAAAGCTATAGGTTTTGGAGAAAGGTGAATTGGATTGGAGAGAGGTTAGTCATGGAGTTCCTCAAGGATGGGTTTTTGGGACCAGGGATTCAGCCAGCCATTTGCAGGAGTCAGGAACGGATTCTCTCCTTCCCCCGCCTCATTGCCCCACATAATGCATTATGGAGGAGTGGGTTTTGATCTCCTTCCTCTGAAGCCTCAGAGATGTCCACAGCTGGAGATAGGACATTGGACAAGGCTCTGAGGTGACACTGAGCATTCTCTCTCTCAGGCGCTTGGCTGCCTGGTTCTTGCTTGCACGCTCAGGGTCTAACTGATCACCAGATGTGGGGCCAGCAAGGAATTCTCCCCAGGTCAGAGTGGCAGTGACATCAGGATGTTTTATTTTTTTGCCTTCCTCTGCATCATGTGGGTGTGGGTCAGTTGCCAAGATTATCTGGGAATATCTCATTTAATCATTTCCCTAGGTCCCTGTGGCATAAATCTAGTCTCCTGTAGGTTGTCATATTTTGGTCTAATTTCAGTTGTTGGGTTTAATGGGCGGGTGCTGGTGGCCTGTGATACATGGGAGATCAGAGTAGATAATCTGCGGGTCCCTTTTGGCCTAAAACTGTGACAGTGGGCCTCTAAGATTTTTTTTTTTTCCTTTTTTGACACTACTGTAACATAAACAGTAAATAACTGAAATTATGGAGAGACTGAACTTGCGTGAGTGCAGAGGAAGAAGCTGTGGGGTTATTCGTTGCCCACATCCAGTGGTGATCATATAGGGTAAGAGAACCCCAGTCAGAGATGTGCATTTGCACCACTTATATTCACTACTCTTCTGGTGTTTGTTGCAAGACACTCAGTGAACAATAACAGAAGGATTGATACACAGGGCCACAGCTGTATTAGACAGCTGTCATAAATATAAAGGGAAGGGTAAACCCCTTTAAAATCCTTCCTGGCCAGAGGAAAAATCCTCTCACTTGTAAAGGGTTAAGAAGCTAAAGGTAACCTCGCTGGCACCTGACCAAAATGACCAATGAGGAGACAAGATACTTTCAAAAGCTGGGAGGAGGGAGAAAAACAAAGGGTCTGTGTCTGTCTGTATGCTGCTTTTGCCGGGGACAGAACAGGAATGGAGTCTTAGAACTTTTAGTAAGTAATCTAGCTAGGTATATGTTAGATTATGATTTCTTTAAATGGTTGAGAAAAGAGCTGTGCTGAATAGAATGACTATTCCTGTCTGTGTGTCTTTTTTGTAACTTAAGATTTTGCCTAGAGGGATTCTCTATGTTTTGAATCTAATTACCCTGTAAGGTATCTACCATCCTGATTTTACAGAGGTGATTCCTTTACTTCTATTAAAAGTCTTCTTGTAAGAAAACTGAATGTTTTTTCATTGTTCTAAGATCCAAGGGTTTGGGTCTGTGGTCACCTATGCAAATCGGTGAGGATTTTTACCAAACCTTCCCCAGGAAGTGGGGTGCAAGGGTTGGGAGAATTTTGGGGGGAAAGACGTGTCCAAACTACGTTTCCCGGTAAACCCAGATAAAGTTTGGTGGTGGCAGTGGAAATCCAAGGGTAAAATAATTTTGTACCTTGGGGAAGTTTTAACCTTAGCTGGTAAAAGTAAGCTTAGGAGGTTTTCATGCAGGTCCTCACATCTGTACCCTAGAGTTCAGAGTGGGGAAGGATCCTTGACAACAGCACTGGGTACAGAAGTGTGTATCCTGGAAGAGAGTAGGTCATGAACTTAACAGAGGTGTATATAAAGCTACTGTCGGAAAATCGAAGTTAAATTTTATCAAGTGATTTGAAACTGTCTGTTGTTGTTTTTTTTAACACCCAGACACTGCACCTTTTAGAAGCTGATTACACTTTATTAGTAGCAGGTTATAACTGAACTTGCTGCACTCTCCAGCTACTGTGCAAAGACAATAACATGCAATACCCATTGGGACAATGACTCTTCTATCCCTCTTGAGAATCAGAATATAACAGGAGAGGCCCTTTGATTTGCACTTCACTCATCTTCGCACTCCACTGTGTGAGTGCACACAATAAATTGGTCTATCACCGCTTCTCAGCAAAGATTTAATGGCTTGCTGAAGTGAGGTCTCTAAGTAAGGCCCGGGTTATCAAACAGCTTTCTGGAGAGCTGATTGATCACATGGTGCTGGTAAGTCCTCATTCCAATGTGCAAAACTGCATTGAAAGAAGCTAAAAATATTAAATGCTTTTCTGCTATTCCTGTTTCACGTAACCAAGTGCTGCAGTTGATGAGGGCATGTTAGCTGGAGGGGATGGGGTCCAGAAGACATTGTATGGGTGGGAAAGTATCTGCAAGAAACTCTAAGATGTGCAGCATGTTTTTAAAAAATGGAGAACTCCTGCATTAAGACATCATGCTTACGCACTACAGTGCATTTATTAATACGCAGTGAGGTGTTGAGAAAGCGAGTTCAGTTTTATCTCCGATCACATTTGGATGCAATCGCCTGGCTTTTCTAAACTGTGTTTATGAATTGACACAGTTCATTAAGTCACCATGGGTGGCTTGCTTATTAGCAAGCGTAAAAGTAATTTTAAAGATTATTTCCCAAATAATTTTGAGCAAGCTACTGTACAGAAATCAGGAATGCATGGTTAACTATAACCTGTAGCAGATCTCTTTTGCTGGTAACACCATTCCCGCTCCATTGTGTGTGCACACTACTGCAGTTGTGACTTAAGCATGAGCTGGTACCTCAAAAGGGAGTGATCTAATCAGCCCAAATTCCACATGTAGGACATAATCTCAATATGACGGACATAACAAACTCTTGCCATTATAGGGTATTCATATCTTTAGTCTTTTATAGTAAGCTTCGGTCTTATGATTCACTGGGGCTGATGTCAGTAGGTGGCAATGCAAAGTAGAGGGATAATGGGCCTGTGGGGGACAATGTAAAATCAGAGTGGTGTGAAAGACTGGAAACTTCACCGAATAGAAATAGAAGCCCAAAATACTGTTTGACTAGTAATGAATTACTTCTATTGGCTGTCGGAGCTTTAACCAGTTTCCTCCTCCAATTTCAGTCTTGTACAGAACACCTGGGGAAAAGTTCCTGTTTACATCTCTCTTTCTTCCTTCCCCCCCCCCCCCCCCCCCCCAACAAAACCATGGGGAGTTACAGAAATGGACACAGTTTCCTGTTAAACCAATCAAGGATGCTCAGCCTGGTACTTTTTGCTGGTCTCATGTTTTGGAGGGGATTTGGGAAATGAGGGTGGGTCCTTTTCAACAACCTGTTGACTGTGCGGTGCAATATGTTTATCCTTTATCATCTGGATTAACTTGTGCTGGGGCTGTGTTCTCATTTGGTGCATTATTTTTCACAGCTTTGTCTGATCCCCTTAGAAGCAAGACTACTCCAAGAAGTAAAGAGTGATGGCATCCGTGTTCCAAAGTGTCGGGGCTACAGTTGGCTGGAGGAGCCACCAGCTACTGGCTGACTTTGAGAATGAGAGCCCAGTGCCTGACAAATTTAGAAAGAAGCCTTCTTCAAGCTCTCTCAATACCCTCCGCATGTCTCTGAGAAAGCGAATGCCCTTAAAGCAAGTAGAGATAAACCTCAGTGAGAATCCAACTTGGGAAAGTCTGGAAGCGAAAGAGAAGCGACAAACCCTCCGGGCTATCACAAGAACAGCAAAAAATGCCTTTGGAACAGTGTCCCAGGTAATTACCCTTGTAATGTACTATGGATGGCAATTCAGTTCATAGCCTGGTGTCCTGTTTCAGGACTAATAATACCTAGCTCTTTTTATACAGCACTCTTCAGCCATAGTGCTTTATTGCCGGACATAGTAGCTGTATTTTATAACTAGTAAATGCTTTATAATATCGAGCTTGCTGGTTGCCATAGCAAAAAGGGAAAGTGTCATAAAAAAAAAAGTCTTGGTCATGTTGTTTTGAGCAAAATCTCCAGCAACTGTAAAACCGCTTTCCCTCTCCCAGACTCTGCATGACGTGGGACATCCATAGAGAAACACTTTACCAGGACTCCTCCATTTACTATTTTTAAACTAATGGATTTGCTGGGCTCTCAAAAGAACATGCTTTATGGAAACCTTGGAGCTCAGGGGTGAGGGAAATGTGGGACTTTAGTTATACTGTATTTGGAGGCAGAGGGAGGAGATGCCGTAGAATATCACCCACTTATATATAGTCTGAATTTGGACTGACTGGTTTCACAAAGACCTACCTTATGGAAACTCCTAAAGCTCAGGGCTGTTAAAAATGTACAGCCTTATTTAGACTGCACATGGAGAAGAGGTCTAATTTTTAAAGCCTGATCTAAAACCGATTAGCCAATTGCTGACCCAAGTCCAAGTGTCTTGTCGTTTTCTGACCCAACCATGAACGTGCACCAGCGTTTTGTCCTTGGAGCTCAGCCTGGCGGGGGGCTTCACGCTCCGTCCGCCTCCTGCCTGTTGGGTCAGCGTGGCAGTGGCTGCATGCCCCTCTCCTGCCGGCTGCCACAGCCTCATTACACTCTGTGCTCAGAGTGAAGGACCCTGCAACTCGTCAGCACCTGGGTCCACATTACATGGTGCTGAGAGACAGCGGTGGTCAGTGGGAACAGGGCACACAACTACCTATGGGCAGACTTGACCCTGAGAGAGCTAGGCTGTTTTCTGACCTGACTCGGACACATGTCCCTTTGGGTTCAGGTCAGGTTTCAGGGCTCTAGTTTGGAGTGGGAAGGGGAAAATATCAAATAGCATCCCTGAAGATCCTGCTGGAATTTAATCCTTTGATCTGTAAAGTCTCAATTCTTCACCTCCATTTGACCTAGATCAAGAAGACTTCTCCAGCAGCTCTCTTGCAACATACAGTCTTTGTACCCTTTTAAATTCACTGAGGCAAAGAGAAGCCGTGGAAATCCTGGGAATAGCTTTAGAAATAGCAAAACACTAGCCCCCATATGTTAAGCAGATGGCAAGACCTTGGTATTCTTGCTAACTATGAATTGTTTCTATAGTGGCATGCACATAGGGGGAAGAACCTGGAATAAGTGTTTCCTGCTAACTCTAAGCTTATTTTGCAGATGAAATGCCAAGCACTGGCAGCAAGGAGTTTTTGCTTGTGTAAAGGCTGCCAATCAGGCCTGGGCACTTGTCTCATGGGACCAGCAATATTGGAGTTGTAGCAGTGGGGAGTTTTGCTGAATTTTTCATGCAGCCTATGCTAGGTTGCACAAGCTATTTTAGGAAATGCTGCTAGCCAGGAGCACAACCGGCTTGCTGTTATGACTCATAGTTTGCAAGTAGACTTGAAGCCCAGGGGACAGTCCTGCAGGTTGAGGTATGTTAGCAGGGCAGCAAAGGGAAGCTTGTTTGTGCTGCTTTTCTTTCTCTAAATGAAGGCCTTCAGTTTTAAAGGAATCTTTAACTGGTTCTAAAGGCAGGGGCCTGATCCTGCTCCACATGAAATCAATGAGAACTTTGTCCAGGGCTCCTGTGGGAGCAGGATCAATCCCAAAGACTAATGGGTCAAATGAAGCACGCTGCTCTATTTCAGTGCTATCCGAGGGAAGAGACTTTAGCAGCAATGAGAGACGTGCATCCACCCTAGCCTAAGCCTGGCTCTAAGAACTGTAGCTGGGGTTGAGAGCGATCGTTCACGTGCTGGATTTTGTTGGGCTGGCATATTGTAGACAGCAATTCATAATCCCAAATATGTCTGCCTTGCAGAAAATACAGAAGTCCTGCCAAAATCGCACGCAGTCTCTAGTCATCTCTCCAGCTAAAGCCCCTGCAAGGAGAAGTGGCAACATTAGCTCTGCCAAGAAGAGAAGCACTTCACCTCGAACTCCTAGTCGGAAGAATAGGCTGGCCACCATGACCACCCCATTGTCTGGTCCCAGTTGGAGCCCCAGGTCCAGCAAGAGAGCCTCTCTTTCATCCAGATCTGCAAAGAGCTTGGTGGGGAAAGAATGGAGGAGTTTCTCTTACTGGCTTGGAAAAGAAGCTGTCCCTCTCCGGAGATCAAGGAGAGCAGCTGCTCTAAAGAGCCCGTACTCATCACCTATGCTTGCCAGCAGAAAGAGGCAAGCTGCCATCATTTGTAAATTCCTATTGCTGTTTTATTATTGTGACTAGAGTGTCTGGCTACCTGAGAGACAGCAGCTGAGCACTACTAATCTTTCCCACTGAAACAATGTGCTGTTATTATGGTTAGGAAGGTAATAAAGTTGTTACGTGCCCCTATTTACACAGAGAGAGAGCGCGGCATAAAATTAGGCCATGGAAACTTAATTTTGCATGATGATGGGTTAATGAGCGCTCCTGCACCATCCCCATCCAGTGGGAGGGTGAGGTTAAGTTTATATCCTGTAATTATGCCAGCTCAAGTCTGGCTTGAGTTAAAGAAATGTTAACCTTCTAAACTCTGCATTGATGCTATTTGTCTGATAAATCACTTAGCTATCGATTCATCCTACTCTGCTCTGCTTTTCCCCAAGATTATTTATTTTGTATTGTGGTGGTATCTAGAGTCTTGGCCCAGAACTGGGGCTCCTGTGGCGCTAGGTGCTGTACAAACAGAAATATGGCCCCCTGCCCTGGAGAGTGGACAAAGGGTTGTGGGGAGAAAAAGTATTATTTCATGAAGCCTGGAGATTGTGCCTTGCCCAAGGTATCAGGTGAAGACAGAGTTGGAAGTTCCACGTATGCCTCCTGGATCCCCGTCCAGTGCCTTAGCTATGAGACCATCTTTTCTAGATGCGATGTGAATGGAGTTAAGGCATGATTAAGGCTGAACGTTGGGATGGGGAGATAGAACCCTGTGGCTAGAGGCTTAAAAATTAACCGAACCAAGCACTAGGGTATATACTGTAAAGATGCTTCTGAAGTGGTAGGGAGCTGGGCTAGATCACCTATGTAACATTTGAATCCTCTAATTGCATGCTGCTTTCTCCCTTCAGAGAGTTTGACTGCGAGTTAGAATCAGTCTCTATGGGAATTCGCCGCCTGAAACGTCTTTCTCAGGTGTTTGATGATGTCATTGTGAGAGAGGAGAGGTAAGCAATATTGAGATTGGGGGAGATGTTTGTTTCCCCTCTCTAATGCTACCTGTATCACCAAAGATTCACCTCTCCAATCCTGAGTCAATGATCACTGCAGCTCATAATCAAGATGAGTGAGAGCAATAGAAACGCCTTAACTGTAATGCAGCCTCTCTGCTTTAAGACTCTGTACAGACATCTGCAGACCAGCTCGCAGCTCCACCGAAGCCTGTAACAAACATTCTCCTTGATTACATGCTGCTTGCTGTAAAAATCAGAATCCTCCTCACCACACTCGGCCTCTGATACTGTATCTTGCGTGGTAACTCCTTGCAGCAGTTCTAGGTGGGTTAATAGCCGAGAATGGGGCCAATAGAGGCTTTTTAGAATCTTATTGTATAGGCAGTTGACTTTCATGTCAATAAAGTTCTTTGAATGTTGCCTGAAAACTTGATTCAGATTCAAGTAACACCTAGGATTAGTTTGGCTTGTGCGTTTGACAAGTGTGTATAGTTATTATCACAATCTTCTCTTCTAGTTGAGGGTCTTCCACACACAATTGTGGGAAAGAAAAACCCTATCAAAAAAGGAAAATAACTTAAAGTGGCAGGATGACCTGGGAGCAGGTGTATTCACTGAAGCTGTTCCTAACTCACTTTGAAATTAACTAGATTTCAGGTTGAAAGGCTTGAAGTGTTGAGGGTCAGATTCGTTTCACAGAGATCATCAAAATGGTAACAAGATAAAGTTATTCTGTAATTATTATTGTCCATCCCCCACATCAAGATTTTTTACTGGGAACCTTTCTTTTGTAAGAGAATTACTGTGCAAGAATTTTAGTTCCTAATGTGAGAAGCTTTTGAAATGTGGGAGATTGCTGTGTTTTTGTAATAATTACCTCCTTTAGAATCAGCATCTTCAAAGTGCAGTGTGGTAAGAGTTTTCAAATTAAAAAGTTTGATGCCACAGTAATCTCCTAAACCTTCACAAGTTCTGCTTAAAGAACTCTTAGAATTAAGCCTAAATCTTGCAGCTTAATTCTACTTGGAGCTGGTTACAAATTCTGCATAATCAGGGGACTATATCTAGACTACAGGGCCCTGTCTTGCAGATAACAAAAGCATATGAATGTAGCTTAGCACTACAGATCTTCTAGATCAGGGGTTCTCAACCTTTTTCTGTGTCCCCCCCCCCAAAAAAAACCCCAAAAAACAACTTCCATGGCCCACCTGTGCCTTAGCTGGTTTTCTGCATATAAAAGCCAGGCCCAGTGTTAGGGGGGTAGCAAGCAGGGCGGGGGGCCCTGCAAAGCTAAGTTGCTTTGGCTTCAACCTCGGGTGGTGGGGTTTGGGGCCCTGGCTTTCTGCCCTGGGCCCCAGCAAGTCTAATGCCAGCCATGCTTGGTTGGCCCCCTGAAAGCTGCTTGCAGCCTCCTGGTTGAGAACAACTGTCCCAGATAACTTGCCCCAGAAAAAGGCTTGTGGAATCCCTGCAGAATTCCAACTATTTCTCTCTACCCCAATCGTATTTTTTCATATCGGTCACATTTTTAGCTGATCAGGTGTGGACGTAAGTTGCCAAAATCCTAAAAGAACCATGTGTCAATTAAATGATCGTAACTCACTCCTAATATTCATTCTTCCATCTGTTAGCGATATGACAGTTTCTCTCATTCGTAACTGAAGATAGTACCAACGAGGTAAAGTTGTTGTTCTTAAGCTTGCTTTGAATGTACTTACTTCACTTGCATGTGGCTGAATGGAGAAAAACTGCTGTTTTCAAGGGAACGAGTACATACAAAACTTTGAGCACCTTTTTTAAAAAAAAACAAAAAACTTACTAATGAATGTACAGAACCACAGGCTGCTTTCTCAAAGTCACCAGTGTTGTGCATGCCTCTCTTAACTGCAGTTGTAATGCAGTGCAGCCATGAAACCCAGCTTCAGTTGGTGGATTATAGGTCACAGAGCCCCATGTGGGTTTGTGAAAAAATAGTTTGACTGAAAAAATAGTTTGACTTCTGTGCAAATAGCTGTTTTTCTCACCCCGGACCAGAAAACATCTAATGTTTTGTCACTTCAGTTCTCACTAGTTACTCACTAACAACGTAAAGCATGTCAGAAAAGTGTTCCTATGACTTGCCTAATTATGTGTATGTTTTACCATTCTTAATGCATAACTGTTAAGACAATGCTGCTTCAGTAGCAGCAGTTGACATCTTGTTTAAATACCGCAATTGCATATAAGTGGCTCTGGAACAAGCAAGGTTCTCCACTGTAAATTTCTGAACATTCTGTCTTCAGCATCACTTCTCCGAACCTCCCCATTAACAGATTGGCTATGGGAATTCCTTAAATGCTTAAATTATCTTCACTTCAAGCTGCACTATGACATCTTTAAATATTTACACCGTTGTGTTGAAGGCTTTGTATGTGGGATTTTTTTTATTTAATGAGAAAGGGGCAATGAGTTGCTGTAGGTGTTTTAATTAGGAACAAATACGCAAACAAGAACACTCTGGGGAGTGAATGCCCGTAGCATGGCATGGTAGAAAGTGTGGGGACTGTGACTGCTAAATGACAAGTTGATTCAGCATGTTACTTCCCATGGTAATGCATGCTACTTTCACACTAGCAATTCAATTCACTTTACTGCATACTTACACACCTTCACTTGCTGGCTTGAAAATCTTCTCTTTCTGTTGGGAAAAGCCCATTACTTTTATGTTGGTAAGAGGGTACCATACTTAGCAACTCTAAGATAGAGACTAATTCTACCTTCTGATCTCCAATAGCCATGAGTAGGAGTCTGGAGTTTTTCCTCCAAATAGGCCCTGTTCAGATAAATTTACTTAGACAAAGTCTGTTTTGTTTGTTTAAACTTTCCCTCACCCTTCACAAAACAACCACTGATGTAAAAGCTACGTTAGACACTCCCTTGTTTATATAACATTTGTTAAACATTTAAGCAAAATTAGACCATCCCCATTAATGTTCTTTTTTCCTAATCTATAATGCTGCTTAATCTGTCTGCTGCTATTGCTGACCACACATCATAGCGGATAAAATATGACTGAAGTGAGAATTTTTTTTTAATGGCCTTCATAAAATCTGCTCAATATACCAGGCACAGTTTCCTGACTTCTGCCCACTTTCCAGCAGCTTGTGTATATATACTGAATTACCAATTACTTAACCTTGCCATTTACTCTGTTGTATTAATTGCACTCCTTTATTCTCCACAGAGAACAAGTGATATCAAATTATCAGCATCTAATGGCACAAAACTTGCGATCTGTGCATCGGTCTCGGAAACTCTCCCAATCTGCTTTCAGACGGCGTGCAAGGAGGCTCCAGCATGCAGTCAGCACTTGGACGGAGATGGCCTTAAACAGTATTAACAATGTGTGAGCAAATGAAAGATTAACTATCTATGGGAGTTGGAGGGGTGTATTTTCTTTTTGGATTTAAGTCTTTTTGACTGTGCTTTGACTAAGCCATTAACTTTTTAAAATACTACCTTTAAATTCAGCTCAGGTCTTTCCTTCTATGGACTTCTGCCAATGGTGCAGGGATGATATTAAAAAGTATATCACATGAAAACCCCTATGGTATTGCCCAACAATGGAACAGTAAACTGAACTCAGTTAACCAGTACTTACACTAGACGATGCCTGTCTAATTTGAATTGAACTTTAGGGCTAGATTAAATACTACTGAATGATTTTAAGGAAAGACAATAGCATCTGTGTCTGACACCTGATCTGTGAAATTGGAATAATTGCTTCCTATACCTCCCCCAGGAGATGTTGAGGACTTAAATTTCTACAGAGTTTTGAAAACTGAAAAAACACCAAAGCTTATGCTTTTCCAAAGTGCATGAATTTCAGTGGGATTTAGTGGCCTTTGAAGACTTTATGCTGTGCGCCAAAACCATAGTATACAAAGTGGTGTCAGGCTCTGACTTCAGTTACTGTGGGTTGACATCGAATTCTGTAGTTACTCCAGAGTGACACTGGAATTAAAGAAATTACTGCCAAAGTGAATTAAGATAAATAGAATCAAGGCAACTTTAATTCTTAATGAGCGTGACCACACAGGAATTTAACTAGTCCATGCCTTTGTTTATTCAGATTAGCTTTCCTGAATGTGCCTGTGTAGATAAATCCTAGGTGATTGAAGTCAGAATGTGTGACCCCATACAGTTCACAGGGTTTGATTGACTAATGTAACTATTCCATTTTAACTGTTAGCAGTTAGGGCTTCATTTGTCTTTCATGCTACTGCTATAAGACATCAACAGCTGAGGTAAATATTGCCCTTGGAACATGTACACACAACTGAAGACACTAACAATTAATATACTAAAGTTGGAAGTAACACTTGTTGCTTAACATTATAATTTTGTGCAGTGGCACTAGTTAAGTGTTTCTAATAGCTTTAACATCATTTTTATAGCAAAAGAAGGTCAGGCTCTATAAGAGAGGTAATCTTAGTTTAGCAAAAATATTAATTCTCTAACATTTCAACAAAGCAAAGGAGGTGTGTTTTCCATAAACCTCTAGAACTCAGCACCAATGCTGTTCCTTGACCGATAGCTTTTTTCTAAAGAGAATGCTTTAAAGACACCCCCCTTGTTTAATCTGTCAGTGTGCCACTACAAAATATTGACATTTATAATTTTTAAACTTTTGACTGTTTGTGTGAATTCTGTTGCCACTTAGTGATAGATTTCAGATGGCTACAATATTGTCCTGCTTCATTCTCCCTAAAATATTCTATTGGTATCGAAGTCCAACTTTTGTAAGCAATCCTGCACGAATGCTGCCCCATCTATATTTAAATTGAGATTAACTCTTTTTTTGCCTGTTGACAAACCAGACTGTTGAAAAGGTAAAACTTTAACAATGGGGTGGAACCCCTTCCGATTTGGACTTAAAAAGTAGATAAGGTTTATTGTTTTAAACCAGGGGAGGGCTTTTATTTGAAGTTTTACTTGTATGTACTGATCCTTGACAAAGTAGACTTTTCATTCTAGTGATGTCTTGCTGAATTCTATTTTGAGACTCCCTTCCCCTTTAAGAAAAACCTCAACCACCATTCACCTCGTAAGTGGGAGAAATGTTTGTTCTTGCTATTCCTTACAAATGCTTTATGTGCATTGAGTATCGATTATAGGTTTTGACTAATTAATTAAAATCAAGGGGACTGCCCAGGGTGTGTAACTAAGGGACAAAGATCCCACATTTTGGAATATAGGGTCAAATCCTGCCCCTCTCCTTTTTCTTCTTGAAGCTCAGCTGGCAATGCTGCCTTACAGCAGGTGAGGAGCTAGAGTTCTCTATTTTGATTAAGTGCAGGGTAGTTTTGAGCAGCTGTATCTAACTACCTTTCGGTATGTCTTGGAAGTGTACCCATTCTGCACAGGTTGATCAGGTGCATAATGTCTGAGGAACTTTCCCACACCAATGTAAAGAAAAACCCACAATGCTGTCCACTTAAAGGCAAAGAAGGTTTTTATTTAAGTGACTAGCTTTTTATAAGATTTTTAAAAACCAGCTCACATCAAAATCTAGACCAATTGTAAAAATCTTACTCCTTAGTTCATAATATTTTAAGAAATTCATTATTGTACATTTTTTTAAATTTTTACAAGGCAGCCATAAGAAATATAAACATTTGTCACCATAGATAGAACCTTCCCACTGACACACTATTTAAAAGTATACACTTAGTAAAACTGTAGACTCAAAGACCATGTACAATTTCAAGTCTCCTTACAAGGATTCAGTTATAAGTAGACATTTTGTTTTCCCACATAAATAGAAAAATAAGTATGCATTGGGGTTGGGGTTCTGCTATGAGACTGCCATTCCTGACCCTTCTAGACCCAGAAGTATCTTTCGATATTTAAACCTGCCCTTTTCCTTTTTAGTGTTCCATTCTGCATGTAAACCTGCCTGTACTTAGCAGTCAATACGCTCCAAGAGCTTGACTACTGGTCCAGTGCTTTTCTGGGTAAGGAGAGGCTAACTCAAATTTTTCCACCTGTCCCAAAAGCAGGCACAGTTTTAAAGGAATACTGTCAAATTTTAAAATAATTACAGGCCAGATCATCATCCCCTTCCCATGGATCTGAGCCAAAAGGGGAGTGTTAGCTGTGTTGTCATTTTAACCCTAACCACCACCCCCCACCTTGGGAGCTCCCTTCCACAGTGTTCCAAGCAGGATCGCTGGCTGCTGTGTAGCCTGGGAAATGAGTAAGTTATCATACTCACCCTAGTCTGTATTTAGAACTCCCACCCTCCAATCTCCTGTGGAACAGCTATGGTGGCAGGGTGAAAAGAGGCCACATGCCTAATTTCTCCACTACCTAAATGGAAATTCTGTGACTCCATATTCAGAGTTTTCAGTCCCTTAAATAGGAAAAAGCCAGTGGAGGAGATGATCCTACATAATGTAAACACTTTTCTTTACCTCTATTACTAAACATAATAGCAGCGAGTTGATTTTATAGGTATCAGTCAATTTACTTTCTCCTTTTTGGTTTTAGTGCTGTACTACAAGGAAATCTTGTTCTTTACCAGTTGTTTTATATTTAGTCTTGTGCTCAAACTTTTTTTCTACTTGGGAATTTATTTATAAGGAAGAGTGCTCTTGCTATTTCATATAATCTGGCTTTAAAAGCACACAACTGGATTTGTTTAAAGAGATGCATAGGCACAAAACTTTTGCAAAGTGGAAGCAGGGCATCCTGTGCCCCCAAGAGTGTGAGAGTTTAACAGCAGTGTCACCATCGTGGCTAATACTGCTTAATGAAACAAATTAAGCTTTCTTAGCATATGGCTTGTTCTGTCTCCCCACAGCTCCTGAAATATGTCCTAGCTACTTTGAAAGCAGTAGCAAATAAGACGAGGGGGGCCCTGTATCTTCACTAATACCATCTTCTAAAGTCTGAACTCTCTAGTGTAAAAAAAGGCTGCTTTGTGCACTAAATAGTGGAGAATGGAACATAATTTAATGCTTTTCTTCCCATCTAACCATATCAAAATGGCAGCTAACTCTTGAACCCCAGTGAGAGAGAGAGGGACAGTGGATGCTGTGTAGTTCTCACACCTAACAAAATAGTATGCTGGATAGATATAAAACATGCCACAGAATAAACAAGAATACTTTGGTCAAGCAAGAAGATTTTTGTTCCAACAGCACTAGTGTAGGCAAACATGTACTTGAACATTTCTTACTGACATACTCATCAAATTTGGATTACCATTACTATGCATGTCTGTGGAATATTCTGCACTCTTTACAATGCTACTTTTTCCCCAAAACTTACCTAACAGGACAACAAAATAGACCAAACAGCCATTGTAAAAAATGCATATTAGTTACAAATTTGCTGTGAAAGCTTTACCAAAACTTCACATAAGGTTGTTTTAAGTCAGTAAATATACATACACGCACAACAAACACCACAGCTATGACGGTGTCTTTTCACAATAGCTCAGATAAGTCCACCACTGCTAGTTAATCAGATTTTTTTTTTACAGTAATAAACTGGGTCCATAAACTTGGCAGAGAAATAAGTGTTCCTAGTCACAGCCTACCTTACTTGTGCATTTAACTTTGACTGCTATGACTCCTCACTAAAATATTTTACATTTCCAATTACTCTCTCAGTTTACCTGGGCAGAAGACTGTGCTTTTCCATATCAAGCAGTCAGGAGGCACTAAGGTGCAGAAATTATTTATGTGCTCAAGCTGTGTTCTGTGAGCATCCAAAACTTCCACTGATGTCTTAATTCACAACCAAGATAGTTTTGAGTGTGCAAGGACATCTGGTAGTAACTTGATACATACCCACACCCAATCTGCTAATGAATGAGATTTTAAAAAGCACTGCTAATCCCCTGGGTGAAAGTTTAAGCAAAACTGAACGAAGACTTAAATTGATTTTGAAATTCCACTTTACTCAATAGGCTCTGAATTAGGAAAGTTTGCACCTATGAATCATAGCATGTAAACAATTTGGCAAGAAGCAAATGCTTTAGGAGATAACAGGGATTGACAATTTAACATAATTGGGCCTAGGTCAGCCTCCACAAAAGAGCTACCTGGACACAGCATAAGTTAGGTATGAGTTTTAATATACAGCTGGGTTCCCAAATTTCCAATTACATAATAATTTGTTTGTAGGCCTAGGTAGTTCATTCTTCTTACCATACTGATACTCTCAGCCCCACTGAAATGATGACACCATTTTAGTGACTAATAATCTAGAGCAGAAAAAAACCCAATTGCTTTAAATCTGAAATTTTGGAACCCCAGTTTCCAGCTGGTATGAAATATTAACCTCTAACCTGAATATGTTGTGGGATTGTTTGCAAAGGTGCTTAGTTGGAGGACCAGTGAGCAGAGGGTAAAACATTCAATCCCTGAGCAATAAGCAATATTGGAATTATTCTAAGGCCACATGAGTTCCAGTATCTCATGAAACCAAGTAGGGGAGTTAAATTATTCTCAGCTGAATTCTAACACTATGTAGTAACATTTAAAATGCTGACATTGTAATCATGTACACAGACTAGCACTTATTTCACTGCTTAAATTATTATACTGTTAGGAGAAGCCAGCACAATGGCTTCTAGTCAAGAGACCCAGGTATTAATGGAAAAATTCAAGTTAAAAAAACACATGGTTAGAACTTTCAGGCTCATTTCCCTTAATGATGGACACACAATTCCAACTAGATCTCATTCTGGAAAGAAATATATACAATAGGAGAATTAGATAAATGTATAGGATAATTGGTTTTGGAGCCTCGTGGCTGATAGAGGTAGACGTTAGCTGAAGCAACAATAGCTTTGAATTGCAAAGCAGGCACAATAATTACCAGCAGTGTACATGCCGTAACACATAGCTGCTTTAAAAAATGGAATTTCGAGCTAAACAATCAATGTCCTCTTTAGCTCTGCCCATCGGATGGATGACAGTTAGGAATTCAGTAGACAAATCTGAAAAGTCTTATGCTCTCTTACCCGATTAAACTTGGAGTAAGCTGAAAAATACTGTATCACCGAGGTTTTGCAGTGAAGAGAGCCTAAAACAATTAGGCCAATCACCACAGCCTCAAGCAAATAAAACTGCTCCAAGGACAATAAAGCAGTGAATCTATAAACCATTAGTGGTCAGATGTAGATCACTGGAGCAAGCTTTTTACTGTATGTTCTGAGGGCATTATTTTGTTGGTACCTGTTAGAAGAGATGCATCAGATAGGGATTGAGCACCAACCACCCATCTTCATTACTTACTTTTGCTTTCCCCTAGAGCAGCAACAGGGAGCCAAATTCATCACTGAGAATAAGCAGCCATGACTCCACTAAAGTCTGTGGAGCCATGCATGCCGATACTAGTAGTCAGTTTAGGGCAGGGAGCTAGTTTCTGCCCTGCCCTGCTTTGCAGCCGGTGTGATTTCAGTCTGGTTGCAGAGGGTGGAAGAGAGGAACACAGAGGCTAAAGACAGAACACTTAATAACCGTTTAAAGTGCTGTGTGTTAGAGGACTTGTGACATTACTCATAAAAAGACATTTGTAAACCTAAAAACTATTTTAAGTGTTGCTCTTGGAGATCTTACATTTAGCTTTTATATCCAAATGACCTTGCACCAAGGAAACACTGAGCAAAGGACATAAATAAAACAGTTACCTTTAAGTACCCGATCCTAAGTAGTGTGAGCTTGCAAAACATTTAGTGTCTTAACTTTAACTTCAAAACTCCAGTTTAATTTAACAGGGATAAGAGAAAAATTAATTTTATTGTGAAATGCTATGAGATCTTTCAGGAAATATGAAGCTAAATTTTTGCATGTGGACTGATTATAAGTGTAATACAAAAGAGCAGGTAACTTTGGCATTCCTCCCACAGAATAAAATACAGAAATGTACCTAAGGTGCTTCATTAGTAGAGCTGATTTGCTGCTTTCTTGGGTAGGAATCAGCCATCAGAACCTCTCTGGCAGTTTGGGGTCTTCAAATAATGCACGTTTAGATTTTCCCTCTACTGCCTCATTGTCATTTCCCCAGAGCATTCCTTCTACATACTATATCTCAATAACTAATAGGCTCATTTGAGCCTGCATCTGGCCCGCATTCAAGATGGAGATGACTTGAAAAATGGGTAACTTTATCTAAACTCTCCCAGGCTCATAAACCAGTTTTTAATGCTTAAAGAGGTGGTTTTCCTGAGCACTTACAACACTGATGCAGATTAGAAAACATGCTTATGTTCGGGCCTAATCCTGAAAAGTTTTAGTAGTTCTACTGAATTCAGCTCAATAGGAGTTATCACTGAGTAAGAATTTGCAGGATCTGGCTCTTTGCTTCTATCCTAAAATGACTACAATATTTACCTCTGAAATGTGAACATTTAGGGCGATTCCCACACAGTTGCCTCCAGTAGATCCTTCTAACTAAGCTGAGAACATCTAAACGGAATTTTTCGATAATTAGAAAATGAGTACTTCAACTGGCACCTGCAATTTCATAGCATCTAGTTCCTATGAAGCTTAAATGTGGGTATTTTAAATGCAGTAAGATTTTGTTACCAGAAACTGCATCTACAATTTCATAGCATATAGTTTCTTTAAACAGCAGTGGCAAGGGAAAAATTACCAATATAAAATTGGTGGTGATTTTATCACTCATTTTCATCCATTGTAAAATTCTGGAGACACTACAGAAGAGGGGTTTTTTAGCTTACCTAAGAAGGATCCATGTCTTATATCGAAAGCATCAAACCCATCTTGGTGCTTGGAGCAATTCAAACATTCGTACAGTCACCAATCTCCACGAAAAATGTGTGATCTTTGTATACAGCAACACCATCAGTGCTTCAGACTGCAGAAAAGAGACTTTTTTTTTTTTAAAACATCAAGTGTTTATGATTTGGTTCTTAAGTAGATTTCTCCAGTAGGTATTTTAAGTCTAGCTACCTCACTTATAAGATGTATAGATCAGAACTTGAGCTGATGCACATGCATCAACACCATAAGCCAAAGGAAATTTTCTTGGGTTTAAGGCACCCAAACAGTTTGCCTTCCACATTCCACTCCACCTGCACTTCCCTTCTGTGTATAACACTTTCTCAGGAGTATAGCAGGAATTGATACTGCCATTAGGGTTTTAAAACGTAAGCCTTCTCTTTCACTCATTTTACCTGCTTATGCTTTTTTTAAAGGTACTACTAGTTAACTGATGTCACTCCTTTAAGCATCTTCCATTGAGTAAAACCAACCTGTTACCGCTTTTCTCTTATTGCACATTTTATAATGTGTATTGTAAAAAAAAATTCTAAGACATATTTTTGCAGTTTTGATGTTAAGCACTTGCGATAGTTTTAGATCTGGGATTTTAAGTTTTATAACAGGTATGTTAAGAGGAACAAACAAAGTTCCCTACTTGGTTTAAGAAGGCAGATTCCAGAGCAAGGAAGCCTCTGGTTGTGTCCCACCCCATGCCTACAGGTTGATTGGCCGGCACACAAGACTTATATCTCAATGCTTCCTAAGGTGCAGACTCAAATTTATGGACCCCACCTCGAACCCAGGCTATGGGGGGCAGGTGCCTGTCGTGATCTTTATCGGATTCAGGCTGGCTCTGGGCACGCTCTGGTTTGGGGTTTGACGAAGGTGGGTCAGGCTGCTGCACAGACATAGTCCTGCGAAGGTGAGTCCTTTTCCGTAGAAACTCGGGCTGGGAGTGCAGGCCAAAGCTTCCTTTCCTCAAGATCATCCGGGAGTTGTTCTTCTTGGGCCGTGAATGGAGACTGAACTCCAGCAAGGCTAAGTGCGCCGCGTAACCTTCACTGAGGAACTGGAATCGGGGAGGGAAAGAGAAAAACACTATACATTAATGATTCATGTAAGCAGGCTTCCCATCAATGAGCAATCTGCCTGGTTGGAATGGTGGCCAGACAGACTCCCAGCAAACATGATCTTGGGGGCGGGGGTGAAGCATTCAGCATGTGCTGCTTTCATGCCAGCTAATGGACAAGCATTGTGTATTGACTAGGCACAGCTATGTGGTTCCTTCACAACAGCCTCCTTTCTGGAGTGATGTTTCCAACTTCAGTGTAACTAGTTAAGTCAAGGACATGAGAGGCCAGACTCTGAGATGGAGGGAACAAAATGGCCTTTCTACCACTTGCACTTATCTCCTCATACTTCGTTTGTAGTACTCTACTCTAATGAGGGCGGGATCCTGCTCCTCTCTGGGAGCTGTCCTTTCATACTAAAGCACAAGAAGGGCCCAAATGGGTAACATTCTTTCCCCATGAGTTCAGCAGCAGAGCTGCATGAGAATCAGAGCAAGGGTAAAAAGAAAACTGAGACCCCCTTCCCCCTCTTTAGAGTGACTACACTCCTGATGAAAACACATGGATGATTAATTTTGGACCACTAGGCTAGAAGATGCCAATATTGAAGACATTAGAGCTGTGTATCTTAACTTGCTCTTTCCATTTGGCCATATATTGTATGTGCATCTGTCAAGCAACCGGCACTCCTGAGATGCTAAAAGCCTTTTGACCCATTCTCCTAAGTGAAAATGCCCTCTCTAGGACTTGTGCTGCCCTGGCCACAGTCAAGATTTATCTTCACTTTTCATCTGCTGTGCAGGTCCCAAAAGACACTGACTCTTTAGCAAGAGTTACATACCTGACATTGAGTCTGGTATTTCTTTGTCGGACGTCCAACTATGTAGATCTGGGAAGGCGACAGACCCAAAACATTGTACACAGAAATATCCTTCATTGAGCCATACGCAGCAGAAATTTTGATGTAGCACTGAAAGAACCAAGGCAAATATTGTTTTAATTGCACATGCTCTGAATGGCTGACCCATAAATCTTATAGCAGGCATTTTATTTGTGATGATAAACTGATGTTACTGACCCAAATTTATAAACTTGCCGTTGTTAAAAAAAAAAAAAAAACAGCAGAATTCTTGCCAGTAAAAGTGGTAAGATGACTGTGTTTTTAAGTAATTGCTGGGATTAGTGTGAAAGCCAATAGGAGTTGGGTGCTTAACTCCCACAGGCCTTTTAGAATAACCCTCCCTTTATTTCTAGAAGCTGAACAAGAATTGCAATAAAAATGTTTCCATTCGGAAGGTCTGTATGAGCAGGGGGTACTTGGGAAGTTTGATCTTCAGAGGTGATAATGAGCCACATTTTCCCATTGGATGTGAATCCAAACCATAAACATGACTGACCAGGTTCTCAAAAGTAACATAACCCTAGTCTGTCCTCATATCTGCTCCCTACTGAGAAATCAGCATAATTTCCTGTAGCAACTAAGATCCTTAGTTTTGGGGGATTTTATGCAATCACAGCACTAGGAATGGAATTTAGTGTGAATCAAAAGACCTCCATATTTGTCTTATAAAAGTGAAGGTTTTGTTGCCAGATTCAGGTAACTGAAAATTATGAGGCAGAGGTAGCTACATAGCAAATTTAACCCTTCCGTCACCCCTCCAACGTGCTTCAACCATGACCCTGAGGGACCAGAAGCTTATCAAACTCAGCCTGGATTTTTCCTGATTCTTCATAATTAATACTTTTAGCAAATGGAAGGGTGCAGCAATTATCAGACATCATGATGGCTGGATTCTCTTAAATCAGAACAATAGCTTGGCTACACACATTTCACCTTGTACTGTACATAGCTACTGGATTTATTTATATGCATCATCAAAATGAATAGCCTTGATCCAAGACCCTCAGAAGGCAGAGCAGCCTTCTTTGCATCTGAATCTTAGGAAGGAAACCAAGATACAACAAAATACCTTGTAATGGACAATGGTCTTTTCCTTCCAAGGGGGAGAGACCCTCCCCTTTGGCAATGACAATAGAGATCTGACTTTCCAGCAACTGTTCATTTGATTCAATATGTGCAAAACAGCCTCTGTTACCTCTTGCATTAGATTCCGGAGGAAAATAGTTTTTTGTCGTAGTGGGTCATGAACAAGCCCATCCGAGAAGAAAATCATCCCTTGAGGAAAGTTGTGCTGAGATAACCACGAGACCACTCTCTGCTTTTGCATATCAGGACGGCCAGTGATATAGATGATCAGGTATCCCAGATCCTGCCAGTGTCTGTCAGAAGCAAAAGTGGCGTGGGAGAGTGGAAAACGGGGGAGAAGTCACTATCCACTTTAGTCTTAACGAACATCTTTGCTGAACATGGTGACAATTTAAGAAAAGCCAGGCATAATCTCTCACTAGGTAAAAGGCTAGCTGGGATGGGGTCAGGTTTCTGATTTTAATAGCTAACATCCTGGTGCGTTCATGCAATAATTTGTATGCCTCAAGAGGAACGGGGAAGAGCAATAGGTAGACTTGTGCAAATACTGTTGTATAAAACACCAGGGATATTTCCAAATGTATTTTATCTTCAATATTCTGCACCCTGTGGATTCAGTCCTGCTGTCCTTGAAATGGATGGAAATTTTGCCTTTGACCTCAACAAGAGCAATATTACAGCCTGGGAAGCTGTGATGCTCATCACTCCATTTTCAGGAGGGCTCAAGGGGCTCTGAGTTTAAAATGATAGACACCAATTCTTCGCCCAGTGCAGCATTAACTGACTTCTTAAGTGAAGGAATTAAGTGGTTCTTAGAACTTATTCTCACAGTACTTTACATCTGGAAGGTACAGCAGGACTCAGGATTAAAATTCATTATAGCATAAAATCCTTCAATAACTCACCACCCTTTTTGATAATCAGAGTAATAAATGGAAAATTATCTATTGACTCCATACACTTATAGGCCATGTTTCCTAGGGGCAGCCTTTTAACTTTAACTTACGATTTGCACGGTAAATTGCACCAAACATCTAAGTGCTATAAAATGTGTAAATTTCTGTGCAAATCAGGTATAGCTAGATGTCTGAATGGTACAAAAATGTATCTGCAAAGAAGTCTGGGCTTTATGAACAATCTATTATTTCTTGCTTCCAGTTTGATCCCCTTTGTTAAAAAGGGATGAGGCAGGGACTCCAAAAACACTAATGTGTATGTGTCCCTTACCGGACAACGTCTACAGCCCCAGCTCGAACTTTAGGGTCACTACCCATGATTGAGACACTCGCTGCAAAGGAGCCATCAATGCTAAACACCACACACTCCATTCCCGGGGGAAGCACAGTCAGGTAACTCATTGCATTGCTCTGGTCACCCCTGGAGAAGAAAAACAAAGCGAAGCATCAGAACTCAAACTCTGTGAATTACAATGAAAACCAGAAATGATGTCTGTCTGGAGCAAGGCATTCAGGGCTCCACAAGCCTAATGGGACTTACTATCCTGTTTCCAGTTTGAACCACAAAGTAAAGGTGTTGGGACCCTTTAAGAAGCTAATTTTCCAAGTCCACTGGGCTAAAACAGTGAGACTTGCATAAATCTAATTAAAGCAGTGCAAGGCAAAAAAAAATCACTGACAATACAATAAAGCCCTCTAGGCTTTGTCCCTTTTGTGCAACATTAGAAATAAAAATTACCCTGGGTTTTTTAAAGCAACATAAAAATATCGGGCAGCCACAAGTGTATGGGGAGAAGCGATGTACACTTCTCTCACTGTGCATACTTGCAAAAAGTCAACCTTACTGTGCAACAGAAATGGACAGGAATTGACCATCCCTCTATCCCGGTTTCTTGTGCTGAAAATGCTGGCCCAGAAGAGTAACAAATTCACAAAAGGGGAGAACTCAAACACGAGGTGCCTACTTCCCTACGTGGCTTTTCTCATGTAGAGCTCTGGCATCTGCAAGCTTCTACTCATCGAGTATTCTTTCACGGGAGCGCAGCTCTCAGGACACCCGCAAAAGGCAGGGGCAGAGATCCCGCAATTCCCTTACCTTTTCCTGCCATATGAATCGTGTTGCTCTGCAGCTCTGACCCAAGCCCTGCCCAACTTTGTCACAGTGAATGTTACAGCTATAGGGGAAATTATATCTGGTGTTACTGGCAACATCTTGCAGGATGGATTTCTGCTTGGAAATGTGCCCGCATCACATGTCAGGTCCAGGCATGACCATTTAAGGGTGAGGAAGTAATAACTACTTTCATTCTAGCGTGAAGCATACTAAACCTGCAATCTAAGGCCCAGGGAAGCAGGAGACTGGCTCCTGAGTCAGTTGCAACGTTTTAAACTGCAGACTTCCCAGAAGAGACGTTAATTTGTTTTTAAGCGGCCCTATCTTCTCAAATTGATTGCCTGCTATTCTACAATGGAATTATTATTAATTAAGAGAATATATATGTGGAATTGGAAAGTGATCTTCCATTTGATTAGCTGCGAGGACACCTTTAATTCCATTTTTCTTTTAGAGGAGACGTTTAGTGGAAGCTGCAAGTTATTTCCCAAGTGGGCATGAAGTTTAACTCCAAAGTGGAGTATTAAATTAAAACTTTATGTCAAAGCATTTAGCAGTTTTCTGACTAAACATAAAAAGCTTTAGAAGCACAGCTGCCCCCATCCATGCACTTAGGCAGATTAATTTTATTTCACACATTTTTCCTCTTTATGCTTGACTCAGCAGAGGGCTTTTCATGAAACTCTTGAGAGCTAAGAGAGAGTCAATTGATTTCACTTCACTGAATTGTTGCTTTAAGGCTTGTGTTTTTCAATTTAAAATAAGCATGGCACTGATTCCAGAATTAAAGTGATTCCTTCAGTCAGACTGACATCAACAGATGAACTGAACTGCAGACTTGGAACAAGGCAATACCTTCACTATCCATTTCAACAGGAGAAACTGGTCACCACCCAGAGGGATACAGATCATCCCTTCACTCCAGCCTCACCCACAAGCAGGCTCTGGATTACCCAAGCTACACCTTTGCTTGGGCCTTCAGATGGACCTGATCCCCTGCATTTACAAGACTAAACTCTAGTTAGTGGAGTCTTACTGGCTGTTATTATTTGTATTACTGCTGTGTCTATACATTGCAGCCGAGATCAGGGCCCCATTGGGCTGGGCATTGTATGAGACTCACTACCCCAAAATGTTTAATATAAAAACAGGCAAAGCATACAAAGGGTTGGGGAAAGGAAGCACTGGGAAATGGACACAAAATGAGATGAAGTGACTTTTCCAAGGTTGCAGAGGAAGTCTGTGGCAGAACTACCATGGCCACAAAACCATCCTTTCTCCAGTATCTTATTCAAATCTGTAGTGATGACTCACGTGATGTGAATGACCATTACGAAGTCCAGGGGAGGCTTCCCTGCTAGTGAGGGCTTTGTGATACCATAAAGCACTTTGACTAGTTTTACTCTTAGCAATTAATCAAGTCTGCCTTCGGTCTAGAAAGCAAAATTAACAGGAGACTCATCCCTCTAAAAGCACATCATCCCCCTTATGTGCATTAATTAAAAAAAACATGGTTTGAGATGGCAGCTAGCGATCACATGTGTAGTTTGTTGCCAGTTATTACTTGTACTGCAGTAGCACCTAGGAGCCCCAGTCATGGACCCCGCTGTTCTACATGCTGTACAAAACACAGCAAGGCAGCAATTCCTGCCCCGAGGAGCTTGCAACCTAAGTAACCCCCTTTCCTCTGCTTCCGTCCATCCTCACTAGAGCCAGCGTAGCTGACTGCCTTGCTCATCTTCAGAACTGCCACCCCTGAGTACATCAAATTAAAACATCTGTTCAGTGGGGATTTGCCAAGAGGTCCCACCTCCCAGTGTAGATATCCTGATCATAGCCCCACAGTCAACCCCTTTAACTGATATTTTCCCCCATTCCCTCTGTCTGTCCACACAGCAGCACCCATTTCCACAGCTGGAACAGATATGTGGCCGAGCTCTGAATGCCCTCTCCACCCAGACAAGGGCCATCATTTGGCCCGTATTGTCTAAAAGCACTGTCTCTTTTTCTGCATATTGAGCCCACGATGGTGGAATAAACGTCTCCAGAGCAATAACTTTGCTCAGCGTTGTGGACAAACAATAAGTGCCTTTGCTCCGTTTGAAGAATGGCACTCATGCTAAATGCAGGTTGTTTGTTTGTTTTTTTATGGCATAACTCTCTTTGTACTAGGGAATCCCACACCTTAATTATCCAGCATTCAAATCTGAAAACATTACCTAACCACCATTTTGATGGGATACACGCCAACTCTAAGCCTCTTCTGTTTGGGTATGTTGTAGGATATCCTGCCACTGCTATTGGTGATCTCTGTGTCGAAATACACCCACCTCCCCGAAGAGGGTTCAGTCATAATAAGGATATCAACCTGTAAAAGTAAAAAAAAAATCTATTAAATTTGTTAGACAACAACACACATCAGCTCATAGGACATGCCAGACTGTCTCAGACCAGTGGTCTAAGTAGTTTCATATCCTGTCTCTGACAAGGGCCAGTACCAAATACCTCAGAGAAAGGGGCAAGAAATCCTACAGTAAATGGTTATGGGATAATCTTCCCACTGGACAGTTTCTTACTAACCCCTCTATAGTTAGAGGGTGATTTATGTCCTGAAGCATGAAGGTCTATTATTTACGACTTTTTTAAATTACTGGGCTCAATCTTGCAACATACAGAGTACTCTGGACTCCATCTTGCACAGCACTTCCTACACTGAGTGTGCTTAAATGCTGTGCAGGATTGGGACCAGAGTGCTCAGCATCTTGCAGAATCAAGTCCCCAGCTTCATATATTCCTGTTACCCCTATAAATGTCCAGTTCTCTTGGCCTAAATGATGCCTTGTGGCAATGAGGTCTGAATACAATTAAATACTAAAAACCTTTTGAAAGCTTACAACAGAAGTGTTACCAAAATCTACCAATGCATTTACACCCCCCCACACACCCCCACCTCACCCCCACACCCTCCTCCGGCTGCTTTTAGACTTCAGTGTGAAGTCACAGTTCTTATATAGGCACGCAGCAGGATTTTGTTTTTCTAAGTTCTGAAACTTTCTATTGTTCATTTTGTACCCTAAGTGGATTCTGTATCTGAATCTTTCAAGTACCCGCTTAGCACAAGGAAGGAATGGGGAAAACATGAGAAAGTTTTGCTAACAGTAAAGTGAGAAGAATCATTTCTCTACAGACAATCTTCAAAGGAGTAGTAGATCTATAAAGAAAGAAGAAATGTATTTTCTTTAGTGAATTACAGCTTGAACTTTCTTTTATTCAACCATTCAGTTCTTCCCTTTCTCTTTTATAAGGATGGGGGAAAAAATCTTCTGTGGTGTTAAAGTAAAAAGCAATTTCACAGAAAAAGCAAACACTCAAACTGTTCGGTTTGCATCAAGCACACTCAAACAAGTCTCCTCAGTCATATCCATTTCAGATCAAGGACTTTATGGAGAGAACATAAAATGCTACTGATTGCTATTTCTTGTCACTGTGCCTCAGTTTCCCCATATAAAATGGAGATAATGATGCTTGCCCTCTGCAAAGTGCTTTGAGACCCTTAAATGAAAGGTGTTATGTATAAGTGAAGAGTGGTACTTTTTCCACTGTGAGATTTGACAGCCCCCCAAATTAGAACATTAACTACACTTGCACGAGTGAAAATTCCACAGCCCAAATGAATTCTTCAAGGGAGTCTGAATGCCAAACACTTCTTTTGCACCATCAAAGCCACGAGATTCTAAGGACCTTTACTAACGACAGGATTTTATTACACCCTAACACACGCTTTGCTTTCCCCATTGCTGAAATGCAGCCCTTTCTGGGACATGAATGCAGCAGCAAGGCAGACCATGGGCACACAGCGCAATGTGGGGGAGGGAAGTATTGTCAAAGTACAAAGCCCCAGACTCATTAAAGCCCTTACAGGGAAAAAAATCCATAAAATAATAAACACTGGGCCTAACCTCTGCTGGTGTAAATCGGCATACCTCTGCCAAAGTCAATAGGCTGATTTACACCGGCTGAGAATCTGGCTGAGCTTTCAAGGGAGCAGCTGGGGATTCTGTTTCTAAAGTTTTCATTTGAAAGTGCAACATGGGGCTTAGATACTATGGTGGCATGAATTAAGGGCTTAAGCCCTGATTCAGCAAAGCACTTAAACATATGCTTAAAAGAGCTCTGCTGCATTCGGGCATTGGATACTATGGTGATGGGCACTCTGGGAACCCCCAGCTTCAACAGAACAGACATGGAACTCCACTTATCTTCCTCGGAACTGGGGTTAAATTGACCTTAATAGGATTGCATTTCATGGCTGAAATCCTGGAGTCTCCCTTGCAGGAGAAAATAATGGGATTTGGGGTTACATTTAATGGAAGGACAAACTCTCAACATTACCCAAAAACAGTTATGTGTTGTGTGGCCAGTCTGAAACTATTTATGTTACAGTGCACTTCCCTATAGAACACTGAGCATGCAGGAAAATGCATAATGAAAGAGACACTGGAAACAAACAAAATATTTATAAAGCATGTGAAATGCCTTTCAACCATCCAAATTAAGCATCTCACTGTGATCAGAACAGCATTTCGTTTAACTGCACTACCTTATCCCTCACTCATCATCCCTGCATGAGTTTGTTTCCATACACATCTTTATAGCTTAATAAGTAATCTCTCTCCAAGTTAGTCTTTTTATGTCCTCCTCCCACCACTGAATTTTGGGTTATACCAGAGACATACATTTAAATGGCGGTAGTGGGTCTGCAGTCTGAAGGAGGAATAAACTGGAATGTGTTTTCAATCTAGTTAGTTTCATACTTGTACCTGTTAGAAGCCAAATGTGTACACTGTTACTGAGATGACAGAAAGTCAATGGGAATACAAATGAGCAGTCTGTAGAAATCCTAAATGGACTCTCTTGAAGAATTCCCTTGGAAAATGGAATATACGTGTAAGTTACAGCACTGTGCCTGACAGCAGCAAAGATATTCTTGCCCTTTTCAAGCATCTCAACCTCAGTGTGAGGTCAGTAAATATCCATGCCCATTTTACAGATGGGGAAACCAAGGCATAGAGCCATTGCATGACTTGCCCCCAAGGTGGCATGGCACTGAGCCAAAGGCAGAGCCAAGTTTAGCCTCTTTGTCTCCCAGTTCTGTGCTCTAACTGGGAGGCCTCCCCTTACTAGCATCCAGCACTGATCCTCTAGTGTATTTTTACACAAGAGGCTGAAAGCAATCATAGCTCAAGGAGAATTTTTCTGCTTAATGATGAGAGCAACCTAAAGTGACGCTAACTACATCCGACTCCAAAATCATGTATAAAGTGATGCTTATGGAGTGCTCAAATCAGCACAGGATCCAGCTAATTTAAGAGTTGTCCTTCCCCCCACGGCTCCTTCTCGTGCTTCTATAATCAAAATCAGTATGGATTTCAAGTGATCTTGCATCCTCTGCTTCCCCCAGCTATGAGCCATTAAGAGGAGAGGGTGGATTTGCCACAATAGTATCTCTGCATCATTTCGGTTTAGACACCGTCTGCTTTGTTCTCTTGCATTGCTAGCAGAAGAATCCCAACTCCTGAGTTAGGCACAGGAAGAGAGGGCAGAACACACACTTCGGTTAGACTAACTGCTGCTGCAAAATGACAGGTTTCAGAGGAACAGCCGTGTTAGTCTGTATTCGCAAAAAGAAAAGGAGTACTTGTGGCACCTTAGAGACTAACCAATTTATTTGAGCATGAGCTTTCGTGAGCTACAGCTCACTTCATCAGTTTTCAATCTGATGAAGTGAGCTGTAGCTCACGAAAGCTCATGCTCAAATAAATTGGTTAGTCTCTAAGGTGCCACAAGTACTCCTTTTCTTTTTGCTGCTGCAAAAGTGCACCAGGAAGGGGGAGTAGATGGCACAGAGAGCAGACAGCGTGTCAGTGATTCAGTTCTCTAAGCACAAGCAAAGGAACCTCAGGCACTCCACACGTGAAAGGGGCCGGAGCCAGCGTCTCACCCTCCCAGCACAGCCAGTGGCACTAAGGGAACACATGCCGCATCATTTTAAAGCATATATTATTTCCTGCTCCTGAAAATGCTACCTGCCTGCCTCAGCACTGTGCAGGCAGAATGCCACCTGGGCGGCACACATCCTCCACCTGGAAACATGAGCGTGAGTGCAAATGCCACAAGCTAGTCCTTCAGCAGCTCGAAAGGCCGAGTGGTCCAATGGATGGGGCACCTGAGTGGGACTCAGGAGACCTGCATTCTATTCCTGGATCTGACTTGCTATGTAGTGCTGGGCAAGTCACTTCACTTCTCTGCTTCCTTTTCTCTCCCACCCTGTCACCGTCTTGCCTATTTAGACTTTTAAGATCCTTGGGACATGGATTGTCTCTGTTTGTACAGCACCTAGCACAACGGCACCCCTGTCTAACCTGGGGCTCTAGACGCTACTGTAATATAAATAAAAAATGATGTGGAGGGGGGTTACTTCTTGAGTGGCTGGGAGTTGTAGTCTTCCTGAATGCAAAACTGAAACCTTTTAATACCAAGCAAATATACTCTGAGACTACACTGCTCACTCATATCCACATAGGTTCAAAATGTCAATTAATTCTACATTTGAGGAATGGTATGCATAAGTAGTAATCAAGTTCTGGAGCAATATAACTTATGTGTTTCTCATAATGCCAGCACTGATGCCCCCTCCCAGCTTCCTATTCATCACTACCAAAAGAATCTTCTCTTTTATTTTATATATACATAAAACGTGATCAGAATAAAGAGTGGTTGAAAATCTAATAAAAGGGCTATGATAAAAATCTGCAATAAAGTTTGAGCAAATCTGTGATCTTATCCCCTATGTCATCTCAAGTAATAGGGCTGTTTTAGAGTTCTTACAAACCAAGAGACCAGATTAAAACAACAATCTTAACTAAATGTGACCTCACCCCACTTTGACAATTAAATTTATGTGGGCAGGGGAAAGGCTGAATTCTGCAGAGAGATGGTAGCTGCAGCACATTCTTAGGAATTGTAGAGCAGAACAACCAAGCCCTGTTTAGGACAGAGAAATACTGTTACATGCACTCTACTGGGTTTGGAGTCAACATAAGGAGGCAAATTCATCCCCTGCTGTAGTTTAATTGATTTTAATGGAGTTACTTCCAGGATAAATTTACTCAGCTTCCACCATGTCACTCAACCAAGAGGTCTCTATGGCTGTGTTAGGAAAAGCCATGCAATTTTTGCCTTTTGCAGTAAGTCAGTTGGGAGGGACTTTGCTATTACGTTAAAGGCAGAGGTGCAATGAGGTTCCCCAAATTGTGTTTCCAAATGCAGTGGAATGGGGAACGAACTTGCTTTAAGAAGCCATCGGCGTGTGGGCACGCACACACAATTTTCTTTTGGAAACGTACCTGCCATCTGCCACCACCCCAGACAATAAAGATTGCTGTATTTGAGGGGGTTTGACTACAGGATCTGCACACCTCTTGAAATTAAATGCATTTTAATAGTTCACTCTCCAGACATTTCACCTTTAACGAGCACTATATTAACCAAAGTTCACGATGCAACCAAGGAACCAGTCCAGCAATGGCAGCAGAAATTCAAGCTTCGCCCTCCCACCCCTGCAATGGTCCTAATTTCTGAGGGGACAACCTTTAGATATGGATATCTGGCACCAAGCAAGCCTTAGCCTGTCTGCTAGGTTTTCAAGAAGGTGGCCAGTTGTGCTTTTGAATTCTATAGGGTGGGAATCCAAATACTTACAAGGGAAAAGGAACCACTTCCAGCTCACGGCATTGGAGGGGGGGAGCCCATGTCTTAAAGTGCATCAGAAATGCTACCAAAGGGGAGTGACACAGTGACTAAATTAAATAGCCCTGGTACATGCAGGGAGTGCCCCCATCTTCACTACAGTTATGTGACTGCCAGCATTTTATACACATTTGTCACAGCCAGGCTACTGGAACCAAGGTACCAGTAAGCACAGAGGTTCTTAGCCTTTTTCATACCAGGATCCCCACCACCTTCCCATCTAGCAAGCTGAGAAAGGCAAGGCAGTCTGACAGCCAGTTGTGACCCTCACATTGAAAACTGCTGCTGTGACCAATTCCCTATCCAAGGCCACATGCAATAATGGCTGTTTCAGGGGACTGGCACTCCAGGCAAGACTTCTTTTGTACTGTAGTAAGATTCTCAGTGTGCCGTGAGGAAGTCATAAAATGGACTGATTAGGGCTTATGCCCGATCATTAGTCACGGTTGGCTTCTTCAGCTCACTTTCCCCAGTTTAGCATATGTAGTGCAAGGGATTGTACTGCATCAGGTGAAGGAAAAATGAAATCTGCTCAATGGCTACATTCCATGAAACAAAGAAGGAGCATGGATTTCCTGGTAGCTGAGGTGTGAGCAGTGAGAGCACAAAGCAAGCTTCCTTTATGTAAACCAGTTATTAAGAGTGATTATTTAAGTGCAGATGGTTTCAAGAGCAAGATGCCTGAGGTTAAGAGTACAAACAGTAGATCGTGCACAGAACCCATTATTTCATTTCTAGCCTGTGATTACATTCAGCTCAGCTGTGTCACAACCCTGCTGGCAATGGCAGGGCTAGGGATGCTATCTGTTGCTTTTCAATAATTCAGCTACCACCACCACCAGCTTCATTTTCCTCTGACAAAACAGTGATATTTATGCCATCGCAGATTGTAAATGAATGCTGATAACTCATTTAAGGAACCAACTGCAAGTCATTCTTTTAAGGCTATTTTCATGGTATTAAACTACACACATCTAGAGGGGACACATTTTTGTTTATACAAGCTGATGGTGTAAGTGTAGCAATGTTGGACCTTGTAATTATTTGTGGTTACAGGCATTTGTTACTAAATAAAACTGCACTGATCATGAAATCTAAATATGACAGAGCCACTGTACTGTTGGGCGACTCTACTGAAGCACAAAAAAATTCACCATTACAGTTTGCAATGAATCTGTGCCCCTCCAATGCTCTGCCCCTCCAGTGCTCATTGCACAATCAGGCCATACACACTAACTGGTATATTGTAGCTTAACGCTTGGCTTTATTAGCTTTAAACACTTCTATTGTATGAGACTTTTAGAACAGCAATGGCCCCAGCTGCGTCACATTACTACTCTGGTGCTAAAATTCATCTTCAGGCTTCCTTGTTTAAGAGAAACAACAACAATGTGAACCCCCCCCACCCCCGAGTCCCAATTCTTTTATCTGAATGTCTCATCTGGGGTATATCAATTTTTCTTCCATGATTTGCCACTGCTACAGAATGATTTCTTTTAATTCTTGTTTAGTAAGTTAATTCAGTCTCCAGTAGATGGTGTGATAGGATGGAATGCTTAGTAATCACTTCACCCCTGAGGCTCAGCATCAAGCTGCTCAGATGGCCAGGAGCGCATAAGAAAGGTGATCGGTAGAAAAGGTCAGATATCAGGAGGGCTCAATTTTAGCACATTTTTGCCAGCGTGACAGGAGATCAGACACTTTCGGCTACACTTCTCTAGTTACAAACTATAGAAATGATCCCTGAAAGTCAAGTCTGCTAAACATAATCCCCATCACTGTGGAGCCATCTATGGTAACACGGACAGTTAAGTGTGTGACTGTGTTCAACTCATGTAACCACTAGGGTTAATTTGGGGGAAATGATCCACAAAAGCTCTAGCTTTACCTTTTCACCCGTTAAAGCGACCATATCCAGGGGGCCATACATAAACCGCCCAACCAGTATCTGAGGACCGTCTTCGGCTGCAATGACATCGTTTGCTCTGTGATTGGCAGTTACGTTCTGAAATGAAAGAAAAAGGTTAGTATTTCCACGTTTTTATGCTTTTGGTAGGCTTTGCATTGGGTTGTTTGTATTATATTAGTGCCTATGCCCCGTCAAGGTCAGAGATTAAGCGGTAGTCTCTGTCCCAAAGAGAGTGATTATAATCTAAATAGATGAGGCAGACTAAAGGGTAGGAGGAAGGGAATATTATCCCCATTTTACAGATGAGGAACTGAGGCACCAACAGATGAAGATTGGGATTTTTCAAAAACACATGAATTACTTAGGAGGAGCCCAAGTCGCACTGAAAAAATCAGCGGGACATGTGCTCTTCTTAGGCGACTTAGGGTGGCATTTTTCAAAAGCATCTAAGGAAATTGTTCAAGGTCACACAAGGAGTCTGGCAGAGCCAAGAACAGAACCCATCTCTCCTGAGTCTCAGTGCAGCAGCTGAATCACTGGGCCACCCTTCCTCTCTAATGTTCTAGTATTGTTTATTAGTATTATAATAGCACCCTGAGGCCTCAGCATGCCGGGTGCTGCACAGATCCAGACAACAATTAAACATTAACACTACTCCCTGGGGTTGAAATTCTGCCCCGACCCTTACAGAGGGCTAGGATAAGGCACATGAACCACGGTAGGCATTTGCCCTTGGAGAGCGGAGAATCAAACCCAGCTGTCACAATTCCCAATTCTCCCGAATCTCACCATTGGACCCCATTGCTCTTATAGTAAGATGATGATGGAGGACTAGAAATCACAGTCCCCGTGTTCTCTGATTTAATAGCACAGGGGAGGGATAGTTCCGTGCCTTAGCCACAGAAGAAAGAACCTGAATGTCCTGACTCCTATACTCAACTCTGCCAAGTATGCACTGGTCACTTTACCTTTCTGTTTGCTCATGCTGAAAAGCAGGGCAGATGACCTACCTTACACCTGTGTTAGAGAGCTCTGACTTGGGAATCTCTGTGTTTGAGAATTAAGAAGCTAGACAAGGGCAAAATATTATGTAACCAATATCCACTATTCACCTGAAGATGCTTTCAGTCTACAGATCAACCTATTGTGTTTGGAATAATGTTGCTTTAATTTTACCATCATTTTTCTTGTTCTATAGCACGCAAGTTTTTGTTGCTGAAGCCTCAGGATTCTGTTCTTTTAGTTCTCACTTCTGTACTCTCGCAGTCAGTAGGATATACACACACACACACTCCCTCCTTCCCCCAAGCGATACTTAATGCTTTTCAATTCTTTACTAATCTGCAGTTATGCAACAATCACACTTCAGGTGAGGGAACTGCATTCCATTGAAATTGTTGCAAGGAAAGACATAAATCTGTATCTGCTCTGGGATGGTACAGGATACGTACTCTGAGCTTGACGTGTGTCCTCTTGCGTAGCCATTTCTCTCGTGGATTGGAGGGGCTTAGTGTTGCAGGGTCCAAGCTGTCATTTTCCTTGACATTCACATTTTCATACCTCATCACCTGAAATGAGATTAATGTTACAATAAATGATGGGCGGCCACCAGATTCATCGTAGCTATGCTTGGTGCGAGAGGAGGAAGCACGGTGCTGCAACAGTTTAGTTGCATTCCCCAGATCATATGGTAAGAATACGCTAAAGAAATGGGTAATCGGATCAGGAATATTAATGTACCTGCATATAATTCACCTTAAGTGTCAAACAAGCAGAGGATGTTATTGTATCTGCACAATGCATGTCAGCAGCTTATTGTGTTGTTTTCCATTCCCAATGAAGCAAATTTATTCCTGCTTCAGACTCAAATCCTCAAAACCCACAAAAGCCAGAGTAAACAGTGGGAGTGTTACATAAGGATTTGAGGACAGTTGCATCCTCTTCTCCTGGGCTGTGAAGCCATCCTCCAAGCAGTCGTATGATCGCTCATGGACCATAGTAGCATTTGCTGCGACCTTCCCCTTTCCTTGATGGGCCTGGTGGCCAGCTCCCTGACCCCACTTGCACTGGCTTTCCGCACCTATCCCCCATGCGAGTGGTTCCACGCATTAGGTCCACATGCAGTAGCATAACGACAAAGATGCCAGCACCAATTCAGTCTTGTGGTTGAGCATGTAAAGCTTGATTAAAATACAAGTCTAGCTGCATTCCCATATGATCTAAATGTCAGCCCCCAACAGGGAGCTATTGTGCTCTCTCTGTGGTTCTAAAGGAACAGTCTACAAACTTAAACAAGAGGAGGTTTGTACTCTGACTGGCGACTGATGGACCATGGATAGCGTGAGGTTACTTCAGTGTAAATGAGCAACTGACTCACCAAGCGTAAACCTTCAGTTCAGCCTCCTCCACGAGCTAATCTGAAATGGCTGCTGTTGCCTATTTCAGCCTCTCTATGAATATCATTAACACTCCTTCAACTTGGTGTCCAAGATTCCCTCTTGATGGGCATTTAATAAAGAGGAGCCAAACCCAGACCGTTTTAGGCCAATCTGACGTCCCTAGCCTGGTTCACACTGAAATGGAAAAGTGCCTGTTGATACTGAGATGTCCCAGCTGCCTCAGATAGATGGGTGCCCAACTTGCTTAGGCAGTTTTGAAAACCTCAGCCTTGCTTTTGCTTTAAATATATATTTACATGCAAGTTAGTAAGACCCACAGACCTGCCAGTGCAGCCCCTGCTGTCTCAAAGAAATGTCCTCTTAATAAAAGCCTGCTATATACAGCCCCATGACTTTCAACTGGAATTAGGGTGCCTAACACATTTACAAAAGCACCAAAGCAGGTTAGGTGCCTATCTGCAACTTTACGCACCTAAATACCAGTGTAAATCTGCCCTTAAGTGATTTGTTTAAAATCACACAGGACATCTGTGACAGAAACAGGAATTAGACCTAGGTCTCCGAGACTCCAATTCAGTGTTACCACAAAGCCAGCATTCCTTTCCAATCCAGGCTAAGCAGCTATTTATTTGTAATGCTGTGTTTCTGAGACAGTTGTTCCAATGGCTTGGTTCCTTGCCTGTGTCAAAGTACATCAACACTCTCAGCAGCATCACCTGAAAAACCATCTATCGTTATTGGAACAACTGACTAACCAATTAAGTGTCCACTGTTTTTTTACTTCACCTGCTTCACGGACAGAGGGGTTATTTTGAGAAGTGACAGGAACAGCACTGGAGAGACAAGGTGGGTGAGGTAATATCTTTTATTGGACCAACTTCTGCTGATGAGAGAGAAGCTTTCGAGCTCACACAGAGCTCTTCTTCAGGAATGGTACTGATCAACTTTGCTATCTGCCTCTCAGGATAGGGCTTTAATGGAACCATTGAAGAGCATTCAGTCTTGATATTTATAAAATATAATGTGTCGTGAGCAGAGAGAAGGGCATTGCAAAGGTGGGGTCAGAGGATGAGGGATGTTTCTCCTTTAATATTTAGAGGCATGAGAGGAAGGAAAATCTTTTCATAGAAAATGACATGGCAACGTTCAGTCCCACAATGATTTTCTCCAGATAAAGACAGCCAAGTCTTGCTGACTTTCCCCACATAGATATGCCTACTGGTGTTCCAGGGACTACTTGTATGAGTCAAGACAGGCCTGATTTGGCTTGGGAAGCCTTTCACCTGAAGTTTACATCTGTGCTATTTGTTGTCTTAACTTGCAAAAAATCTTATGGGGAAAACGAACAGGAAAACCAAATTTGCTAATGGAAAGATAAATACATTTCTAAAGCAAAGTACAAGCAGACCTAGGTAACCCATGATTGGCTTTACTCTATGCAAGTGACTGTCTAACAGGTATAGAGGACTCTGGGGTTTTAGTTTAGACAGGTATTTATTCACTAGCACAAATCCCATTCACCATGGGTAAGTTATGAACACTGGATCTAAGCTCCTGATCTTAAGCGCAAAGGGTGATGGATGGTTTTGTGAGTGACCTAGTTTCAAGCCATGGCCTGTAGTAAAATCCACAGATGCAGACTGACCTCTGAGGAGTGGAGACTGGATAGAACTGCCCAGCTGGCTTTCAGCCCTTTTCTCTGGCTAACTCGCATCACTGTCCACCCAGCACTGGGGTCTGTTGCCTCTCCAGGCAGCAAGATGGGCAGGAGGGAGGGTCAGCCATTGAGACTCTATTCTCAGGAGCTGTGGATAGCACACATGCTGCCTGGTAGGTCAGACTAGGGAGACTCAGCTGGCTGAGGAGACTCCAGTGACACCAGCTTGGAGCAGGAAAAGAAGGGAGATAGCCTGTGGAGTTAAGAACAGGAGTACCTGTGGCACCTTAGAGACTAACAAATTTATTAGAGTATAAGCTTTCGTGGGCTACAGCCCACTTCATTGGATGCATAGAATGGAACATAGAGTAAGAAGATATATATATACGTACAGAGAAGGTGGAAGTTGCCATACAAACTGTAAGAGGCTAATTAATTAAGATGAGCTATTATCAGCAGGAGAAAAAAAAACTTTTGTAGTGATAATCATGATGGCCCATTTAGACAGTTGACAAGGTGTGGGGGTACTTAACATGGGGAAATAGATTCAACATGTGTAATGACCCAGCCACTCCCAGTCTCTAGTCAAACCCAAGTAATGGTATCTAGTTTGCATATTAATTCAAGATCTGCAGTTTCTCCTTGGAGTCTGTTTTTGAAGCTTTTCTGTTGCAGAATTGCCACCCTTAAGTCTTTTACTGAGTGGCCAGAGAGGTTGAAGTGTTCTCTTACCAGTTTTTGAATGTTATGATTCCTGATGTCAGATTTGTGTCCATTTATTCTTTTGCATAGAGACTGTCCGGTTTGGCCAATGTACATGGCAGAGGGGCATTGCTGGCATGTGATGGCATATATCACGTTGGTGGATGTGCAGGTGAACGAGCCTCTGATAGCGTGGCTGATGTGATTAGGTCCTATGATGGAGTCACTTGAATAGATATGTGGACAGAGTTGGCATCGGGCTTTGTTGCAAGGACAGGTTCCTGGGTTAGTGTTTTTGTTGTGTGGTTGCTGGAGAGTATTTGCTTCAGGTTGGGGGGCTGTCTGTAACTGAGGACTGGTCTGTCTCCCAAGATCTGTGAGAGTGAGGGATCATTTTTCAGGATAGGTTGTAGATCTTTGATGATGCGTTGGAAAGGTTTTCGTTGGGGGCTGAAGGTGATGGCTAGTGGTGTTCTGTTATTTTCTTTGTTGGGCCTGTCTTGAAGTAGGTGACTTCTGGGTACTCTTCTGGCTCTGGTGGGTATTGTAGTTTTAAGAATGCTTGGTAGAGATCTTGCAGATGTTTGTCTCTGTCTGAGGGATTGGAGCAAATGCGGTTGTATTTTAGAGCTTGGCTGTAGACAATGGATCGTGTGGTGTGTCCTGGATGGAAGCTGGAGGCATGTAGGTCAGTAGGTTTCCGGTATAGGGTGGGGATCCAGAGAGCTGAGAAGGTAGATTAGCCAGGGAGCTGCTGGCAGTCCACTAGGTGGGGAGCTGGGCAGTCCAGTGAGCCAGATGGGCTGGCAGGAAACCAGACAGGCAGACTCTGCGTAACGTCGACTGACCCCGGTCGTCGGCAAGCGGGATCGAACCTGGGACCTCTGGAACTATATGCGTGAGCCTCAACTGCATGGGCTAAAAGCCATATGCCTGTTAGCTAAGGCTGTAGAGCAAACTCATTAATATCTCTAAGTGGTCTCATTGCCACTAAATGAGACAGAACACCACAGCCAGGACTGTGTGTGTTACATCTGCATCAGCTGAATTGACACAGCCCCACGGAACATTTTGGTTCCATCAAATCAGCATTTTTCAGATGCAGTACTCCTCCATCAGAAAAATTTCGACCAGCTCTTGTATTTATACTGTGCTAATCACCATGCAAAGAGCCCCTACTCCTCATTTACACTCCTTAGAAAATCCTCTCCTGGGTAAACTGAAGTCAAATTACTCTTGTCAAATAAAGGTGAAACACACACATACTAATCATGGGATCAGACTAATGTCTTGCTCACTCACAGCCTATTTTATCAGGAGTCAAATGTCAGACTCCTCCATGCCCTCCATATAAACACAGTATCCAATTAGACCAACCTATTTCATCCAAAGTACATCAGCGCTGCCTGATATCAGCAGCCTATTCTGTTACCAAAGATTAGCGATTACAGTGCCATTTTGACTATGCAGAGACACATCTGATCCAAAAATACAACTTTGATTAAAGCCCAGTAACTTGCACATTACGTTATTATTTTTATCCTATGTACCTATTTTTAGATGCCAGCTTATGAGAATTCATCTCTTCTTCATTTAATATAGTGCTTTTCATCAAAGAGATTTGTAGATAACTATTCAACTCTCTCAGCCGCTTGTTTTGTATTATTTCCCCTCCTCATTTGTTGGGCGGTACCCTAGGGAAGCCAAGCAGAAAGGGCAAATGCCTTCTCAAAGATCAAGGAGGATATGACAAAACTGAGACTGTAACCCACATCTTCTCACTTCCAATCCTGTGCTCTAGCTATGAAAGCATCCTTCTCTTATCGTATATAACAAACGTACCTCACTGGACTCTAAAGAGGTGACCTCCACCTGAGTTAATAGCAAAACTGAAAACAAAACAGAACAAATGTGAGATGCCGCTGGGAACAGTGGCAGAGGAGCGACTGGAAAGCAGATATTCATGACTCCCGGCCAAGTGCCTAGACACTGTTTCTCGGAAAGGATGAATAACTTTTCACCAAACTAAAGTTGCTGTATAGCTTAACATTCAAAAGGGTCTGATACAGATTATTACTGATTCATACTGAATTTTCCTTTAGAGAGAGATCAAGATAAAATTACCTGTCTTAAAATGAATGCCACGACGTCAGTTGATTCCCAGTAGCTGGCGTGGAAGAGATGTGGCAAGGCCACTGTTGGGAATGCAGTTAGAACATCAGGACAGTACAGGGAATAATCTATTCGCTTTGTTCCCCACCATTTGGCAGTAACTGCAAATAACAAACAAGCAGTATGGCACCATGTTTCTAACAGATACCCTGTTAATAATCTCTATCTTTTTGGTTTAGGCAACTTGGTTAAAAAGATTCTCCCAAAATTTTGGTTCCTGTAAAAGACATTATAAAGCCTAACGTTAATTGTAATGCTTTCATGAACCAAAAACAGTCTATCATTTGGTTTCAAACAATTGCTCGAGTGTTTTCAATGCAAATTGTACGGTTAATACTATGCTGCTTGGGGCAGGGAGCATCTTCACAGCTCCCAGCATGATGGGACCTTGATTCTAACTGAGGCCTTTGCATGCTACCATCACATAAATGATGATAAATTATAATGTCTTAACACCATAAAATTAAACTAGTCAGTTTCATTGTGTATCACTTTATATTAAGAATTCACTTACAAATAGCTCTTAAAGGGTTAATCATCTCTGAACAACAGATGTTCTCAAAAAGGGTAAATTAATCAATTATAGATTAGTTTTGTCCAACAGGCCAATAGGTTGCTTATAACCAGTGGTGAGCTGGAGCTGGTTCGCACCGGTTCGCTGGAACCAGTTGTTAAATTTAGAAGCCCTTTTAGAACCGGTTGTCCCAAGGACAACTGGTTCTAAAAGGGCTTCTAAATTTAACAACCGGCCAAAAGTGGCACCTTAGGCGCCAACTCCGTGGGTGTTCCGGGGCTGGAGCACCCACAGGGAAAATTTGGTAGGTGCAGAGCACTCACCGTCAGCTTCCCACCCCGTGCCTAGCTCCAGGTCACCTCTGCTCCGCCTCCTCCCCTGAACGCACCACCCAGCTCTGCTTCTCCACCCCCACGGTTTCCTGCGAATCAGCTGTTAGTGCGGGAAGCTTGGGAGGGCTGAGAAGCAGGCGGCGGCTTCACACTCAGGCCCAGGGAGGCAGAGGTGAGCTGGGGTGGGGGGGCGTGAGGAGGGCCGCCTGCGCCGCAGCAGATAAACCGGGGGGGGGGGGGGGACAGGGGAATCAACTCCCACGCTAACAGCTGATTTGTGGGAAGCTGGGGGGGTGGAGAAGCAGAGGGGGGCGGCGCATTCAGGGAAGGAGGTGGAGCGGAGGTGAGCTGGGGGCAGGGAGCTGCCAAGCACCCACCAAATTTTCCCCGTGGGTGCTCCAGCCCCGGAGCACCCAGAGAGTCAGTGTCTAAGGCGCCACTTTTGATGTGATCAGTGGGCTCCCCCCCTGCTTCCCCCCAGCTATGCTACCCCGCCCCAGGAGCCAGAAGGACCTGCCAGATGCTTCCTGGGAGCTGCCCCAGGTAAGCGCCGCTGGGACTCCCCACCTCGCCCCCCAGCAGATCCCTCTGGCTGTTAGGGGCGGGGTGGTCACCCACTACAGTGGCCCATGAGACCCTCCTGCCCGGTTCTGGGGAGCACTCAGGGGACAGGGGAGTGGGGTGGATGGGGCAGGGGTCCCGTGGGGCGGGACGTCAAGGAATGCGGGGGGATTGGATGGGGCAGGACTCCCAGGGGACAGGGGTGGGTCACGACCCCCTCGTGGGGTGAGGAGGGAACCGGTTGTTAAGATTTTGGCAGCTCATCACTGCTTATAACTATCTACAGCACTTGAAGACACAGGACTTTTGTACATTCTTTGTAAATAAACAAAACTGTATCAAAGAAACACCTATCACCAAATTCTACTCCCAAATGGGACACCCACAGGGACCTGAACTTTGACTAGTTGCTTGGGTCAAAAAAGGGGCAACAGTAGTCATGACTGGAACATGCTCATAATACCTGTTAAAATTTACTCCTTATAAATGACTTAATAAAAAGCATGACCCTAATTTTATTACCTTATCTGAACAAAATGCAAAAAAAACCCCAACGATATAAATGGAGGACACTAACCTGGGTTAATTAAAATTCTAGCTGCTTAAGCTCTTAAAAGCACTACTAGTATTCCTGGAAAGGGAAGATTTCCTTTTCAAAATAAACCTCCATAGGCCTGAGGCAAATGGAACGATTGACACTGTATCAGAAATAAACATCCCAAAGCCTCACTCACTATTGGAGATGTTTGTTGATGGCAAGCTCTCTGTCGACCCAGAGGTTTCACTGTTCATGCTGACCAAGCTTGTCCTCCTTGTCCTTCCTTGTGACTGACTCAGCATGTCTGGAGATTCTGGAGTCTCTGGAGAGGAGGGTATGACCCTGGAGATGTTCTCAAGAAGCAGGGCGCTCTGGTTGTGGAGAGTGTCAGCTGCATATTTGAAACATGAAAATCAAAGAGAAGAGCATGGTTTTCTAACAATTTCACTGAGGACAGTGGGAGTTTGCCTGAATAAAGATTATGCGTGAGGTTCACTCTGGAGACAGCCAGAGCCAGTGCCAGCTAAGGAGCCTATATGAAGGAAGCTACCAACTCCCATGGAAATTCTATGAGAATTGGTTGTCTTAGGCCTAGATTTTCAAAAGTGACTAAGTGATTTTGGGTGCTGCAATTTTTATGACCAGCTACGTCTTAAAGAGGCCTGATTTTCAGACAGTGGGTGCTTAGCTTTTAGAAAATCTGCCTTCTCTAAGGCAGGGGTTTCCCAAGCTTTTTCCTTCTGAGCCCTCCCCTCCGCACCAACATGCTATAAAAATTCCAGGGCCAACCTGTTCCCCAACAACTGTTTTTCAGTAGATGAAAACCCAGGGCTGGCATTAGAAGGTAGCAAGCAGAGCAATTGCCCAGGGCCCCCCGCCACAGAGGGCCCCACGAAGCTAAGTTGCTCAGGCTTCAGCTTCAGCCCCAGGCAGTGGGGCTTGGGATTCGGCTTTTTGCCCTCGGCCGTAGTGAGTTTAACGCTGGCCCTGCTCTCTGGTTTATTTTTGCTGGACTCCCTGAAACCTGCTCACAGCCCCCCAGAAACCCTGGACCTCTGGGTGAGAACCATTTCTTTCAGGCATCTCAGACTGGGCACCAAAAATTGAGGCATCCAAAAACCACTAGTCAGATCTGAATGTCTTGGCTTAATTCCCTTAGGCTCCTTTTGCAAAACCTTGCCTAATTCCTTAAAATAAGACTGAAGTGAGTCATATGGTGCATAGGCCTCAGGCTGGCCCATTCCACAGGGGTGAATTTCACCCTGTTGGATATGGCACATAGTTAATCAATCAGTGTAAGTGTTACATGCCACTTACACAATAGTACATTATTATTATTTGCATTGCTATACATGATTCCTTGTAGTTCAGGAAGATAGTAACATTCTCACACTCAGTGGATTTTGGGTTTCCTTCCCACCCGTTTTCCACTCCAATTTTAGATTTAAAGTTTATTAAATCACAAAGACGCCTTTTTCCAATGGAAAAAATGAAACCCTTGTTATTAAATTAATGGAATCCTGATAGTCATTCATTGACTGTGAAAGATTCATGTGAGCATCTTTCTTAGAGATTGAATTTTCTGACTCATCTCATATGCTCCAACTTATTGCATTAACGTCCATTAGGTTTGCTCAAATCCTGCCTGCTTTTCCACCAAAAATAAATTATTGCAAATAAAAGGAAGTGCGACTGAAGTAAACAGGTTTAAGGAATCCTCTCTGGGTCCAATAAAAGATCATGAGCAAGGGGTTTTACTGCTGACCTATTCCAACTGAGAAGTAGATGAAGTTACATTTGCAGCCTATACAATAATACTAAAATGTCTGATACCAAAATCGTTACCCTTAAATAAAAGAAGAAACAGGTTTCGTTCTACATATCTCACTACTTTAATTGCTCTGTTTGATTGCTGTATAGTGTGCATCCTAATAGTCCCAGTTGGGAAGCTAAATACGTAATAGCCAAAATGTGGTGAAATCTATTAGACATCTGCCTCCCCAATTTGTACAAGTCTGTGCATACAGACAAGTTTTTCCGCAAATTATTACAGGACTAAATACGGACAGCAAAATAGGACTGCTTTGAAAATGACGACATATGTTAGCTTTCCGGGCCCTACTGAAGTCAATGGGAGTTTCACCCTCAGATTATCTAGGCAGTACCAATACGTGGAAGATCAAGGTGTAGGAGACTAACATTATTCCTGTGATGTTGATTTCTTTATTCCCCCTGATACTATCAAACCAATTCTGTAACGGTGTGACAGTGATGCTTTAGAGAGAGTGGACTGTAGGCATGTCTTCTACATACCGAATTCTTGCTTCTTTGTAACTCCTGTAAAAGGACTGACCAACTACCAATGGACAGTTTGCAGCACAGCCGATTATGGTTAATGTGTATTTATTTAATAAAATAGACCAACTTCCTCCCCCACCATCCCTACCTCACAAATATGAAATATAAAAAAATAAACCAACTCTGATGGTGCATCTCCCCCATCCTTCATATGCTGATTGTCTTCTTAGATTGTAAGCTGTTTGGGGCAGATAACATTTTTCCCTCTATGTGGGCAGTGCTTAAATTTGTGGACATTAGCAGAATACAAATAAGTGATAACAGTCACACTTTAAATTAAGAATACATTTATAAGTAGCTTATAAAGACAAAATTTATGAAAACATCTACTAATCATGTGTCAAGGATAGTTAAGTCCAACAAGTCAATAGATTGCTTATCACAATGGCTTATAACCTTGTACAACACCTTCTAGTGATGTTCTTGTAACCATCTATAACACATACTACCCAGGTCTGTAACATGTGCATAACATTTATCAACCATTTATAAATGTGCCATTAATATAAAGCGTGACCAATAACACTTTCTTTAAAGTGGCTTGTCCATCTTGAATTCACATATGAAGGGCAGGCATCTTAAGGTGTTTACAGTACCAGTTGCAAAGTATTAAAGCACAACTGGTAATCAGTTGGATGGGATGTATGGTAAGGGAGGAACACTGATCAAGAGCAGACAAGGTGGGCAGAACCTGCCTTGTTTTTCAATGGATATCACAAAACCCCTAGTGATATTGGCAAGAGTAGAAAAATGGGACTCGATCTAGAGAACAGAGCAATAGAAGCAGAATGGTCTATTGCAGAGGTTCTCAACCTATTTACCATTGCGGGCTGCATATGTGTTACGTGGGCTGTATCCATGCAATATATACACTATCTGTATGACTGCAGCTTTGTGCTGATTGGGTCGCAAATGGCCCCTGGGCTGCGGGTTGAGAACCACTGATCTATTGCAAAAGGGAACTTGACAGGGATTCAGGAGACCCAAGTTTTGTTCCTGTCTCTGACATGTTGTGACACCTTGGGCACGTTACTTCTCCTCCCACTCTGTCTTGTCTATTCAGATTTTCTTTTACCATGTGTTTGTAGAGTCTCTAGCACGGTGGGGCCCTAATCTCATTATTGTCATAGAAATAACACTGATGTGCTGGGTTTGCCTTCCCACATCCGGGTGTCACCACCTTCCATTGCACTGAACAGCACAACTATTTCATCACATCACAGCCACACAGAGGGGAGCGCAATGGGGCCTGCCCATGCAGTCATGATAAGTCCCAGTTTTTAAGGCCATAATAAAACCTCCCTGTAAAAAAAAAAAATGCATCTGAAACTTAAATTTTCTGTACATTATTGGAACTGCTAAAACTTGACAGAAACACGGCGTAATGGGTTTCCTGTGAACACACACTGAAGCCATTTGAGAGAGCCTGGCTTATTTTGATTTCAGCCCGAACATCTCAACTGGAAGAGACAGCAACTGAACCCTATTACAGTTGAGCCAGGGAAAGCAATTAAAGTCTAGCGCCAAATAATGGAAGATGAGATTTGGAGAGAATATGCTGAATTGTGGTTTCCATGGGAACACACAGTGTTTTGAGTTTCCTCAAACCACTCTGAAAACCTTCTTACAAAAGAATCCTGCTAAAGCAGAAGGGCAGGACAATCTGTGTGTGGCTAAGGGAAGGCTAGAGAATGCTAAAAGATGAATAACTTTCTTGCTGTTACTGTCCCAGTAAGCCATCCTGGTGAACTGGCTATAAAGTGTGACTTCTAACAGAATGCCTCTATAAAAGGATCTCACAAGAAAACTACAAACATTACTTTATGCAGCGTAGCTGTAGCTGTGTTGGTCCCAGGACATTAGAGAAACAAGATGGATGAGATAATATCTTTACCACATAGGCACTTTAGGTGCCTAAGTCCAACAAAGTCCCTTTTTGGATCCAGCTGTAGACCTTTTAGGATAATAGTTGGATTTCGATAGGGATAGGAAGGCTTACTAGGCTTGATCTATCCACCTGCACTTGGGACGTAGTCCACTGGTGGAGGATATAGCAGATATCAGGGTAGATTTGATTTAATCATGGTTTTCTACATAAAAGTGTATTCTTGTTGGTTGTTATAACCTTAATACATATTCTTCATAGGTAGAGGAACTTCATTAAAATATTCCCAAACTGGGTCTCTTTTATGGCCTGCTGCCATTATAGGTTTTCCCTTCTCATGAGAGAATGGTATGGTAGATCTCAGATCAATGAAGGCTATACTCAGAAAGACCTTCAGACTTCTGGAATATGCTGTCCAAACAGTTTCACTTTTGTTTCTACCACCTGTCCCTCCCTTCTACATTTATCTCCAGACTTCTTCTCCATGTCCAGATCTATTCCGCCCCCAACAATCTTCTACTCATTGAACTTTTTGAAACTTTGCACTTTTAGAGAGAGGTAAGGGATTGACTCTGTGTACAGAAACATGCAGAGGGACAATAGGGTTGAGGTCTGCTATTTCTCACTTCTATATATTATTTATTTAAAAACATTTTTGCTGTTAACTAGCATATTATCTCTGGAAACACAAATCCACAGTTTGAGAACTGCAAAACTAAGCATCTCTGATGGTATCTTCTAGACTGAGCACTGAGTCCCATTGGGTAGAAAGAAAGATTAACCTAAATAATCTATACAGAAGCCCCTGGAACCCCATAAAATTGGGTCCCTAATCCATGAACTATTGGAACTCATTTACAAAACTTTTCTTAATCATTACATAAATATATTGTCTCATACCATAGAATTAGAATTTGTAATCCCTACTCCATGATGAGATATCTTTGAGCTATAATGTATCTTAATTAAAACGATCTTTAGATAGGTTTTTTCCTTAAAACGCATTTTATCAAAAAAATCTGATTTAAAAAAAAATCCGATTTCTTTGTTTTTTTTAAATCATTGATTTTTATCCACCCTAGCAGATATTAAACTGATTCTACATTTCTTCTCCTACCTTTTTATATATCATGAATCTCATGTTTCCC